AGATGTGAGTCAGAATGAAAAAATGTCGAAGAGTTGGAAGAATTAGCTTATCAACAGTAATGAATCTGCGCTGGGACCGTTTTAGTGGAAAGAACCGCCTCTGGTGCCTTCAGACAGCATGTGAGTGTTTTGGTGAAATGTGAAAAGCTTCAGTCGGTCTGGATCATCTGCAGAACGTCCCCTCAAGGTAAGCTCCGAGTGGTCCTCTCCTCATCCTTTAACTAAAACCTTTTATGTAACTTTGTAACTTTGTGACTTTAAGACAGGATTTTTTTTAATAGAAATTTTCTGGGACAATATCGTCTAATAACGAGAACATTTATATACATGTTTATGATTTGACTTTTAAATATGACTTCCCTACGACTTTAAGGATAAACTGGAGCTTTCCAGTCAGAAACCTTACAGTTATGTTCTAAGACTGTGGAAGGAAGCTGGAGAACCCAGAGAGATCCCAGACAGACTGATTCTCATTTTGTATCCACAGAGTATACAAAACACAATTCAGTTTATACAACTTAGCAGCAAAAAGTAACATTGCCGTTCATAAAGTGCAGCAGTGATCCAATCTAAGCGGTGAGGGAGAGACATGGTGGAAAAGGTTTGATCTGGAAGGTTCAGAGCAGATATGATATGGTGCAAAATGCACTAGAAAACATCTGAGTTCTATCAGGTATGATGTCATCAGTGTGATGCAGAGTTTATTCAGTTCCTCAGTGTGATGGCGGTGGGGAAGAAGCTGCTGCAGAACCTGCTGGTCCTGCATTGAATGCTGTGAAGCCTCTTCCCAGAGGACAGCAGGGAGAACAGTCCATGGTGGGGGGGTGAGCGGTCATTGATGATGTCACGGGCTCTCCTCATCCTCCACAGGAAGTCCAAGCGCTTCTGTGCCCTTTAGACCAGTGAGGTGGTGTTTCCAGTCCAGGTGAGGGTGTCTGTGATGTTTACCCCCAGGAATTTGGTGCTGGAGAGAGGGAGTTTTTCCTCTCCACTTGTTACTACAAGCATGCTTAGTGTGAGGGATTGCTGAAGAGTCAGTGAGTCGAACAGTGACTCTGAACATGTGCAGCAAATGGACTGATCTAATATGGTGGACACTGAAGGGGGGGGGGGGGGGGGGGGGGGCTGAGACACACTTAATATTATCAGCGTTCTGATGGCATTTTAGCCAAAGGATTTTTATCAAAAACATAATTAATGTGCAGAAATAAGGAATAGTTGTATTAACCACACATGGAAACAAAGTTTAATTGGACCCCCAGAAACTCCGGGCCCCAGGTGACTCGAACTCACAATCTCTTCAAAGCCCTATGCCCTAACCACTAGAGTTCAATTTTTGGGAACTCTCTGCGCCTGTCTATACCTCAGGGATCACTGGAATAAATCTTTCAAACAACCAAATTATATTCGTGGACCTGAGAATTTATTTTTTAAACTAATTCTGTAATTAAAAACTTTTTTATTTAAACTTTAAAGAGGATGAATCAGAAGAGTTTTGGAGATAAATCAGACCTGAAGTTCAGCTCAGTCAGCCTCACGGTTGGAAGGAAGGAAGGAAGGAAGGAAGGAAGGAAGGAAGGAAGGAAGGAAGGAAGGAAGGAAGGAAGGAAGGAAGGAAGGAACCCCCTCCCTCCTTCGGCCGCGTTCGGCTCAGTTCGGCTGGCTTCCGCCCCCGCTGATCAAAACAAAAGCCGCAGACGCTGAGCCGCAGGCTCCGCCCACCGCTTTACAAACCCGCTGATCCCACCTGGTTACCTTAAAGCGCCGAGCAGAGGCGCAGCTCTTTTCAGGGGGAGTGTCGCTCCGCTGCGGCACGCGCTCCACCACGGGGCAGAGCGGGGGAGGGGGGTGACGTCATGTCGTATTAAAGGACGCATTCATGTAAATGAAGCCGCATCCATCCAGCTGTTCATCTCTATTATCATGGGAAAAACCTTTTTTAAATTATAAAATCCCTTTTTCCACTCAGTAAATTAACTTCCTGAACTCTATTGGAAGATAAAGTTTACACCAAACAGCCATGAAGGGGATCAGATGATCCGAACTCTGATTCGGTTCAGTGAACTGATTCTCCGGCACCGTGGTGCGTAAAACAGAACTTAGTGCCCAGATTATGGACACTGCATAAAATGAAGGAAATGATTTTCTAAAGTCTGGATTCTGGGCAGTTTGATCATTTCTAAGCCTGCAGTCATCATTCTGGGCTCACCGCTGGTTCTGATTCGGTCCAATGCAGGGGCGGAGCTACAGGGGTGGCCATCAATTTACTAACATCAAAGATGATAAGTTCAGATTTCCTGCTCTTTTCAGAGCTAGATTTTGTTTTATGGGGTCAAGAGAAAATGTGTCTCTGCAAGTCATCTAGGAGTCTTTAGTGAAATCATAGATAAATAAAAATGTCAATAATATCAAATAATCAAGTTATGTTGATATTAGTGCTTTAAATATCAGTTTTATGCAGAATGTTTACTGATAAAAGAAGGTAAGTAATGACAATGAAAATATTTAAGCCCCAGAACTCAAACCAGAAAGAGTTTTATCTGCTATACCTTTTATCTTGAAATTACAGATGTTTAAATATATGCATCTATTTGTTGGATAGTTTGTCTTTATTTAGAAAATATGGATGTTTTTCTTGTTTATTTTCCTGTTGGAGCAGAGTAGATTGACCCTGAGGTTCTGGTGCCGATCCGCTTTCGGCCCCCCCTGAATGTACATTGGTTATTGCTTGGCCACCCTTATAAATAATTTCTGGCTACGCCTCTGATCCAATGGAAGCCTAGTGGTTCTGCTGAGGTCCAATGGAAGCCTAGTGGTTCTGATTAGGTCCAATGGAAGCCCAGGTTGCTTTGATAGCTGCCCTCAGGTCATGCGCTGCTGGTTCTGGTGTCTCTCAAAAAGCAGGGGTCCCAAACCTCCTGAGATTTATGGAAGAACAAAATCCATAATAAATAAATATAAATGTCTTTAAAACTTTATATTCATAAAAACATGGTAAATTCAATTCATGTATTTTTTGGGGGATCACTGAAGGGCTCACAGGCTTAAAATGTTTTGCTCTAACAGGTTCTGGCACAGATCCCACCTTAATTGGAACAGAACCAGCAGGCTGCCTGTGGAAGCTTCACATCGGGCCTCCAGAACCATGAGTTCAGGTTCTCCTCACTCTTCCTCCAGAATTCAGGGTCTTTGTTCTGCAAATGAAATGAAAAAAATTATTTCAATCTGGAAACAGGAGTTTGGACCTCTTAACCAGCCTGGTTCTGGTTCCGCTCAACCCGGGTTGGATCCACGTGGATCAGACTCCAGGAGCAGATAATTTCTCTTTACGATCTTCAATGGTTAACCCTATGCATCTTTTCCTTCTAAAGGTTTTTCTTCCACTAGATTTTATTGGATTTCTCATCCCTTTTTTTATGATACTGGAATTGTTCTGATAATTAAACTACATTTTTTATTTCTAGATGAAATATACCGTGAGCTATCTCTATAGTTCTGCTGCTATAGGCTTAGACTGCTGGAGGACATAGGGACCCCTTTTTCATCATTCTGCTTCATTCTATCTCTATTCTCCCACTCTGCAGAATCTATTAGTTCAATCTCTAACGTTCTGCTCTCTCTGCTTTTTCTTATCCTATAGTAGGATTTTACACGGAGCCATCGCCACAAACTCGTTTTTATTGGTTATTAATCGGGGTGTTTTAAACCAGTGTCCTTTCTGCGATCTGTCTGAAAATGTGTTCCACGTTTTTATGGAATACACAACACTAAAGACAATTTCTATCCTTTTAATTCATGTTTCTAGTCTTTTTGGGATAGTTTTAATGGACACTCTCTGTATAGGAGTTTTCCAGAACAGGAGAAGTAAGCCAAAGGCTCCACTTTTAATTTTTTTAAACCAGTGAAGCAAAGATGGCCGTTCATTGTCCTGCAGGAGGGAGCTCACCTTGATGCTCTGTGGAAGTGCAACATTAAAGCCAGAATAAGGCTGGAGTTTCACACAGAACATGGAGGATTTTATTTAGCTGGGATGTTTTAACAACATTTTATGTATTGGGTCAGATGAAGGAGAACGACAAATTAACAAGCTCCTCATTTAATGATTTTTAACTTGTTTTAAATCAATGTTGTTGAAAGTCAAAAAAGTTATCATAGTAGCTTCATCTGGTCTGTTCCTGTTTGGCTGTGACTCCATCATGGAGAGAAATATCAGCTGTGCTGCTGCCATCAACACCTTTGTTTCTAGATGTTGGAGCTTGGCCTGTTTTCCAGTGTAGTCCTGTTTCTCTGACTGTGACTAACTGGATGTGCTCTCTTCATCCTCTGACATGGGAGCTGGCTCGGAGCTCGTCTGCCTGGCTGTGTGTTTCCTGGACGGGGCCGCCTGTGGAGCTGGTTGACAGTTGCCTTTTGTATCTATGCTTCTTTTTCTATGTCTGCTTCTGTCTCCTTGAACCCCAGTGGGCCTCAGCAGATGGCCGCTCACACTGAGCCTGGTTCTGATGGAGGTTTCTTCCTGTTCAAAGGGAGTTTTTCCTCTCCACTGTCGCTACAAGCATGCTTAGTGTGAGGGATTGCTGAAGAGTCAATGAGTCGAAGCAATCAGCTGGTTTTCCTTAGATAGAAAACTTTGAATCAATCTGACTGGATGATCTGGTTGAACTGAGATGACATGATGTGAATCGGAGCTATAGAAATAAACTGAATAGAATAGAATCTATACAATTAAAGATTTCACTTTCTGAAATTGACAATTTGAATTTGTTGTGATATCCCTTTTCATGTGAATTTAGAGGATAAGATGAGGAGGTGGTGTTTCCTCCCGGTTCGCGCGCAAACAGGAGCTTATTACCCGGGAATTTTCGAGATAAAAGGAAGCAGACAGGAAGTCTGACATTTGGGAATTTGTACTGTTATTCTCTGAAAGCCAAAATGGCGTCACGGCCAAGGCAGCACATGTGGGCGGGGAAATGTCGCTGCGCCTCTATTCGGCTATTTTCGGCCTGTGTCGGAAAACATGCGGAGCTGCAGCAGAAGCAGCGGGCGACGTGGAGAGCGAAGCCGCGAGAGGAGCAGCGCGACCGGGGGAAGATTCCAAGCAGTGAGCGGTCAGCGGGGATCGGGCGGGGGGGTCTGAACAGAAGAATGAGAGAAGCCCCCACCCGGACGGGCCGACAACATGAACGGGGCCGTGTACATTTCGTTTTTCCAGGGCCAGCTGGAGTCCGTGCTGGAGCAGGTCGTTCAGCTCGCCGTCCAGGAAATCAGCAAGTCGGTGGGTTCCAGCCTGAACGCCCTGCTGCTGGAGACGGTCTCCAAGGAGCAGGAAAACCGCCGGCTCCGCCTGCAGCTGCAGACCCGGGAGGGCCGGGGCTCCACCTCCCCGGAGGACGGAGGCTCCGCGGCGGGCGGTAGGAGCAGCAAGGCGGGCGAAGAGCGAGCAGACGGCGGCAGGACAAAGCCCGAGCCACGCGGTGCTGCGGCGCGGAGCGGCGAGCCCGTGGCGTCCGTGGACACGCGCCGCCTGGAGCAGAGAGGACGGGTTGTAGGTGAGCCACTGATCCGCGACACCAAACAAAGAGCCCGGAGAGGCGTTGCGTAAGCGGGTTAGATGCGTAAACAGGCTGCAGGAGCAGGGAGGCCCGCGGGGGGAGGGACCAGGAGCCCCGGCCTGTCCTGGCGCTCAGAGCGGGACGCAGCGGCCTCAGAGGGCGGATAGAGCCGCTCCCAGGGGGAGGGGGAGCCCGCCGACACCGAACCTGCTGGGTTAAAAATAAAGCGGCCTGTGGACCCGCAGCCTGTAGGTCACAAAGCGCTGCTGTCCCGCCTGACAGGGACCCCTTCTGGAGCGGAGTTCAGCTGCTGATCCTGCAGGTTTCTGGGCTTCCTTTAAACAAACCGACCCAGAACAAGAATCACTGTTTGACGTCATTAAAGGACCAGCGGGATAAAAAATAAAAGTTTTCTTTCTTTAAACATTATGATGCTTTTCCTCCATCCTTCCTCCTCCAGCAGCTGCTGTAGTTTCTGCCTCAATGGAGACAAAGTGGCTGATTTAGCAGCTAATCTGCACAGTGACAGCTACTGCTCTCCGCTTTAAGCCTAGTTTATGTTCAGAAAGCAGGTCTACTGCAGTTAACGCAGATATTCCCCCCCTTCCGCAGACACTCTGGTTCACCTCTCCAAAATTTTAGGTGACAGCAGACAGGAGGCCTCTGATTGGACAGTTCTAATGGCAGAAGCGCCGTCCTCGGACTCTATCCCAGACACCCTGCAGGACGCTAGTTTGTAGCTCTGAGCGACGGTCTGTTGGTTTGCACCCGAAGCCAAAACACACGTGTCGTCTGGCGTTGGATGAGGGGTTGTAGATGGCGAACAAGCTCATGAAACCAACACGGACGCCCCAGTCCTAGCTAGTTCCTGATTGGCCCTCTGGCGTTGTGGCGTGGAATAACTTAGCGCAGACCACTCTTCAATATTGGGCAGAAATCAAAAATATCCGCAACAAGCTAACTGACTGCTGCGGGTGATTCACACCCCTCAACTGATCTTAGGGCTCTGTCACATTTATCCAGCGTCCGCCTGATGTCCCAGAATCTCCTAAAACGCTGGCATACGCCGAACTTTCTATTTTGGCCGCATACATGGTGTTCATAACGAGTCCAGAACTTCTGTCCGACAGCCTAACTTATGCATGACGCACGGCAGCGTAATGCCCAGGAAATGATGCACAATCATGGGCACCATCATTTGTTGGTGGTGGGCGTGAACGCAGGGAGGATCCATCACTCACCTTCTGGTTCACGCTATGATGGGGATGAAGTCTGGAGGAGAAGTTACTCAGAGGTTTGGGAGAAGCTAGACGCCACGACTGATGACTAACCGACACTTAAAGTAGGTCAACCATCAGATAACTTATGGTCCATGTGTGGCACATGCTGGCATACCTCTGGATGCTCCAAATTATTGCTAAAAATGAAGCAATATTTTAATAAATGCTCAAAATTTCTCAACGTACGTATGTCGATGCGTCCCACCGTGAATGCCCAACCTATGCCGGCGTTTTAGCCAGATTATTCCTACGTCAGGCATAAGCTGGTCTAAATCGTTCCCGGGTCCGTTCATGGGTCCATCAATTATTTTACTCATCAAAGATTTATTGATTTCTCTTTTCAATAAATCCAGAAGAAAATAACCTCTTAGTCTATAAAAGTGTTTTAGTGATGATATTTCTGATCTGCATGTCAGTCATGCAAAAAGCTGTAAAATCCTTTTTGTGTATTTTATTATTACGGGAAAATATTTTAGCTTCCAAAATGTTCCCTTCATTTCGTTAAGGATCCCAGAATAAACCGAAAGCAAGAGGAAGATTCTAGAGTCTGTGAAGCATAACTCTGGGTAAATTATTCCCAGATTACAAGATTATTTCAATAATTTAATCCGATGAATCGTTAAGATCTCAGATCCTTTAAACCAAAATAAAAAACCTTGAAATAAACCAGAAAGGTCCCTGAGGCGGATCCACCGTTGACATCCTGATTGGACTCAGAGCTCAGCTCTCAGAGAAGGAAGCAAACCCAGGAACCTTCTGGTGGTTCCACTGAGGGAACCGGATCAGGAGCAGATCTTTGAGGAATAAAAAGCTTTGAATGTTTGATGTTCTGCTGAGTTTGGATCATTGAGGGAACGCCGCCCTGGATGGACGAAACAAGCGACAGCAGAACCAGGAAAACAACAGAACCACAGAACTGGGCCGGTCCTGCAGATTCCAGTCTGCTTCAGCCGAGCTCCAGCCAATGACGTCGCTGGGTTTTCCTTTCATCCAATCAGATATTTAGGATTTCTCAAAGCGTTGGTCCAACGTTCCTTTAGCTGCCGACTCATGATTAAGAGAAACGACCAAAAAGGGATTGAACTAACAGATTCTGCAGAGTGGGAGAATAGAGATAGAATGAAGCAGAATGATGAAAAAGGGGTCCCTATGTCCTCCAGCAGTCTAAGCCTATAGCAGCAGAACTATAGAGATAGCTCAGGATAACCTGAGCCACTCTAACTAGAAGCTTTATCAAAAAGGAAAGTTTTAAGCCTAGTCTTAAAAGTAGACAGGGTGTCTGCCTCACGGACTAAAACTGGTAGTTGGTTCCACAGGAGAGGAGCCTGATAACTAAAAGATCTGCCTCCCATTCTACTTTTAGAAATTCTAGGAACCACTGGTAAACCTGCAGATTGAGAGCGAAGTGCTCTGTTAGGAACATAAGGAACAATCAGATCTCTGATATCAGATGGAATACCCCCCCCCCCCCCCCCCCCCCCCCCCCCCCATACGGCACCAGCTACATTAAAAACTGGGCCACCATCATGGCCTCCTGCTGCTAGAGTTGATCTGAGGACAGCCTTTGGCTTCTGCCAATCAGGTTCAATCGTAGGTGCAGGGAGGCGGGGCCTAAAGCCAACAGTGTGATGTAATGATGAGGTTGCTTCACTGTCACTGTCAGATGACATGGTGACCTAAAAAAAAAATCTGTTGCCATGGAGACGGAGGGTGAAGACAGGAGGTGTGTGTCTCTCTGGCTATGTTCACACTGCAGCCTGAAGCGACCCAAATCTGATTTTATTTGCCCACATGCGACCTGGATCTGATCTTTTTATGGCAGTCTGAACAACATGGATCCGATTTGTTCCAGTGAGACCCAGGCCACTTGGCTCTGTGGTCCTGAACCCGATATGAATCTGATCTTTTCAATGCGACCTGAACGCCATTAATACCCGACAAAGGTCACTATTCTGCGTCTTGCTATGAAGATGCAGCAAGAAAAACAACCATGGCGGACGATGATGATGCGCAGAGCAGTATTTATGTTTATAGATATTCAAAAGATTGAGTTTTTATGGTTGGAAAAGACCGCTAGATGCGTGCCGGCCCAAAAAGACCGCTAGATGTGCGCCGGCCCAAAATGACCGCTAGATGTGCGCTGGCCCAAAAAGACCGCTAGATGCGTGCCAGCCCAAAAAGACCGCTAGATGCGTGCCAGCCCAAAAAGACCGCTAGATGCGCGCCGGCGCTACCATCCATGTTTCCGACTCGTAAAGTAAATAAAGCCGATCTGCTCTCTAGCTGGAAGCTACAGAACAGAGCAGATAAAGGATCAGAGCAACGAAGCGTCAAAGCCACTGAGCCACCGTTTGAGTCCAGATTTCTGCGGTTGCGCGTATTTGACGCCATCGGTGTGAACGCAGCATTAGACGGAAGCAGAGTTTTTATGTTCATGCCAGTATCCGCCATAGGATCAGAACTTCCTTTGTGTCCTCGGCTGCTGAAGCCCAGAGGAATCGCTGAACGTATCGGCCGACACTGAGAGTATCGCTGAAGACAGCCAGATATCGGTCCGCCTCCGCCGTCGGTATTTCCTGATCAATCTCAGAGGTTCTGATGTTCTGACCCGTCTGTTCCTCAGACCAGCTGAAGTCCGTCATGGAGCAGGTTCTGGCCTTCGCTCTGCGGGAGCTGACCAAGATCGTGGAGGCGTCGTTCGACGACCTGCTGCTGGAGATCACCAAGATGGAGAAGGAGCAGCAGATGCTGGAGGAGCAGCTGGAGAGGGGCTCAGAGCGAGGGGGGGGAGGGGGCAGGAGGCGGGGCTCCGTCAACGACTCGGAGTCGCCCAGCGGGTCCGAGGACACCAGGGAGGAACCGGCCGAGGAGTCCAAAGAGGCGGCGCCAACAGACGGTGAGTTATCAGCTCCTATTGGTCCGCTGGGCCTGAATGATGAGGTCACAGAATGTCCTCTCACTCCCCCCCCCCCCCCCAACAGGCTCAGGGCGGCCCCCCAACCCCCCCGCACCCCAGGACTGGGTTCCCATCCTGGACAAGGTGTTCGGTCAGAAATGGAGCAGCGACGTTTGGCCGATGAAAGGCGAAGGCGTAGACGGCTGCAGCGATGGGCGGGGCCTGATGGAGAGGGGGGGCAGGCACGCTGACCTCGTCTCCTCCTCCTCAGTTATCCTACAGCCCTTCCCCTCCTCCCCCCAGCAGGATCCCCGCTGGACCCCCCTGGAGGACATGGAGGTGTTTTCTCCTGACGACCAAGAAGCTGCAGACAGTCAGACGGACGCCGCCGCCGCCACCGCCCCTCCCACACCGGGACCCCCCCTCAGCCCCTCAGGTGAGCAAAACAAACGCTCCCAAACTGCACAGAAGAAACTAGAGAACAAAAAAAACAAACAGTAGTTTGGTGGTGGTGGAGATTCAACCGAAAAATAAAACAAAACCAAATAAAGTTTAAAGAATTTCAAGTTTCTGACTTTAACATTTATAATGGGAAGCTAAGGTGCACTGAAAATAATAATTTGTACATTTTTAAAATCAGTGACACAGCAAAGTTTAAAGCTATAAATTTTAGATTAATATGCAACAAAAAAAATTCTATTCAGTTTATTTTAACAATTCAACCAGAAAAATTACCCAAATAGAAAAGAATGAGTTTGTTTGGCCACTAGAGGGCAGCAGACATTCATCTTTGTTTTCTGGCTTAGAACCAGTAAAGGAGCAGAACTGGTTTATTCTCCTCCTCACTGGTTCTGATGAAGGTTCTGATCTACTGTGACCTTTGACCCCTCAGGTCGTCGCTCCTCCGCCTCCATGCTTCATCGCCTCCTCACGCTGCCCTCTCAGCTGCTGGGCGACGACGAAGACGCCGCTGCCAAGGAGACGCTGATCGCCTTGGCGACCAACGGCAGCAGCGACCAGCAGGAAGACTCCGAGCCCCCCGATTGGGTCAGGGCGGCGGAGGAGGACGAAGAGGAGGAGGAAGAAGAGGAGGATGGGGACAAAGGCAGGAAGGTGAGGACGGAGAGCGGCGGCGGGTTCTTGTCTGCGGTTCTGGTCTCCTGACGCTCGGTTCTGTTTTGTTTGGCAGAAGAAGCGGCGGCGGGTCTGGTCTGAATGTGAGGAGTGTGGTCGCAGGTTCAGTCGGATGTCCCTCCTGAAGGCTCACCGCCAAACGCACGCTGCCAGCGATGCAGCGGGCGCCGACCCGTCCTCGGCTCCGGGGCCCGGCGCCGCCTCACCGCTGCGCTGCTCCGAATGTGGAAAGAGGTTCTCCTCCAACACCCGCCTGCACAGCCACATGCGGACTCAGCACCCAGAGAGCCGGTCCTGAGGCCGCAGGCCCGGTCCGGCCCGGACCGAGGGGGAGCCGGCTTTTATTCTGAAAGGCAGCAGGAAGCGGGATCACTGAGGCCCATTTTACCTCAGAATCAGAGTCCAGTTCTGGTTCTAATATGGAAACTGAAAACCAGAGTTCTTCACAGACAGAAGGCAGTTTTTTTAATCAGATCAGAAGAAAAGACTTCAGGGAACCAGAACCAGAGGTCCAAACCCGTGGAGACCAGTTACAGAGCTGCAGCTATGGATCCTTCAGGTAACGGAGGACCCAACCACAACTCTGCGGGTTTTCGTCCCCGTCTCGCTTTTCTGATGAAGTAACAAAATTAAACGAGGTCCAGAGAAGTTCCGGCCCAGATCCACTGGAGGAGGTTTGAACTACGGGTTTTACTTGAAATCTGAGCCGATGAGAAGATTTTGGGTCTGCAGGAACTTTTTTTTAAAGATGGTACCGGTCAGTCGTTCCGTTTCTAATGAACGGACCAGAACCGGACCCAGAAAACCGAGGGGATGAAGGGAAACCGCCCTCCTCCTCCTCTGCTCTTCCTCTTTGTGTGTAGGTTAGTCCTCCTGGGGAACAGGAAGTGACCTCAGACTGAGGCTTCCTGGCGGGTTTCTCCTCATGTTGGATAAGAACCGGGTTTTCTAAGTGTCCTTTTTGTTGAACCACCACATTCTTCCTCCTCCTTCACTGCCTGGGTCGGCGCTCTGTGGTTCTGGACCATCTTTGGGGAACTTCAGGAACTTGTGGGGTCGGTGGCTTCGTTTGTTCGGAATCCAGTCCTCTGCTTCCTCGCACGGCGGCCATGTTGTTTACAGTTGTTAAGCCGCCGGCGGGCGGACCCGACCCGACCCGGTCCGTCTGGAACAGGCAACCAGACGGAGGCCCGTTACTGCCAGGAAGAACGTCGACCTTTTTCATCTCACCCTGATTATTCATTGTCAAGATTTATGGAGCTAAATTTGGGCCATAAAGTTTGATCAAAAACACATTTTTTAAACAAAAAACGTTTTACTGTATTTTCCGGACTATAAGTCGCTATTTTTTCCCACGATTTGAACCATAAGAAGGTGCAACTGCCAGAAGGGGAAGTCAAAGTTAAAAACGGAAGAATAAGGGGCTAATTTTCATTTAGCACACCATGCTAGCAGCTAGCATGGCGCAGAACAAATTCACACATTTTTACATTTATTTTCCGCATTAAAGCTGCTGAACCAATAAAGAGACTGAGCTCAACTCCTGCAGAGCTGAAATAAAGAGCTGATGAAGCTCCGTCTTTCAGGAGAAGCTCTTACTGCTGCGAGCTAACAAGCTAATGGGAGCTAGCATTTTTCTTCCTCCCTACTCCGGGGGCAATATGTAGAGCTCCCCCTACAGGTTTGGTGGGAGACAGTTCAGTAGATATCAGCAGCTTATAGCGCGGTGAGCTTATAGTTAGATGCTGTAGTCTGGAAAATATGGTAAATATACATATATATAAAAAAAAAAAATGTAAAGTAAAAATCTTTTTTTTTTCTTTTTTTTTTTTTATTCAAACCAATCCTAAAAACATAGATTATCAATGATGCATTAAAGACGTTTCGAGTTCCTACAGTTCCTGAATGCGACAGCTGGGAATGATTGGTGCCTAATCTGTCATCAGAGCCCCGCCCCTTTTTCAGTTAATTCTATTCTTTTCCAGATTTTGATGTTTCTTTCTGTTTTAAAAGATAATTTGTTTCACATTTCTTTTAGATTACTCTTCTTATTACAGTAATTTTTTTGTTCCAATTTTTTTTTTCAGATTTATTTCTAGTTTAAATATTTTAGTATTCAGTTTTAGAAACAGTTTTTTAAGTTTAAAAATAGTTTTGGATTGAAGTTTATGGCCATAATGTAGCTCCATATTTTTCTAATAACCCTCAGTTTACAGAAAGCAAACGTTAGAAAGACGCTGCGGTTCTGATGAGACAAATATGGGTTTTATTTGAATAATAATTGTCTGGAATCTGGATGAAAAAATTTAAACGATGATCTGTTACCAGCAAACGTCTCCCTGGAATCAACCTGCTGGAAAAACGATCTATAAAATATATCCTATCTATATCAGATGGAGGCATAAATCCGGTTTAGTCTCCATCTCTGCGCTTATTTTAGACGAACTGGAAGTTCATCAAGAAACGAGGATTAAAGTAAAATATTTAAATTAGGGCTGCAACTAATTATTATTTAGCTAATTGATTCATCTGTTGATTATTTTTTCGATTAATAATCTGATTGGTCCCTTAAAGATGATTTTTTACTAAATTAAACCAGATAAACTTTAGTTTGATAGAGAATACTGACAGATGATTTGTTCGCAATGATGATTTACATATTTTCTTAGACTCTTGGTAGAATTCCTGCTCTGTCAGCTAAAGGTAAATTTTACAGTCTCTGTTTCTAAATTATTTGACAATTATTGTTTCAGCCCTAATTTAAAGTAAATTAGTTTTTAGAGATTTGGTTCGGCATAAAAAACCTTTAAGATCCAACAGTTGAATAAAATGATGATGAATTTGTTCTTTCTTATCAGAATCATTTGAAAGCAGCTTCTTTCTGCACTTAAAGCCTCACATTAAATAACGTGATGCTTCAGAAACGGGAATATTTTCCCCTAAAGGCAGGAAAATGCTGTCGGCTGTCCTTTGGCGTCGGTTTCCAGGGAAACGGGTTTTGGGGTGGTTCCTGGGGTGGGGGGGGGGGACTCGTCTCTCTGTCTGTGCCTGATGATGAAGCTGTATGACTGAAGTGTTTGTGTTGAAGTTGAAGGCTGGGACCTGCAGGGCTCCGGGTCCGGCTCCCGGTCCGACTCGACCCGACCCGTCCGGGTTCTGCTTGGCCAACCGCGCGGGTCGGACCTCTCAGCCTCCATCATGTTGACATACCTCATTTTTTAAGTGTTTCTGTGTCCAAACAGACCCGAATACCTCAGCTGTACAGTTCACATGTTTTTGTTCTGGGAGTTGTTAAAATTTTTTTTAAATTTTTGTGTTTGGATGCGTCTCAGATTTCCTCCTCAGCCTGAAGCCTTCCTCTAAAAGAATAATTTCTTCATTACCTCTTTTTTTTACGGATTTAGTTAAATAAATTAACCAGCAGAGAAATTATTAAATATGGACAAAGATGTATGGAAACCCAATAATGACAAAATTAGGAAAACCTTTGAATTAAACTAAAGGAGCAAAAAGCATTATGTTAAGAAAATTAATAATTACTCATTGGACTATTATCTATTGTTGAGTAAATAAAAAGATAATTAGTACTTTAATTCAACTTTAAAGCTACTTAGGTTTTTTTTTTTGCCAAATAATTTTTTATGAGTTTTGAAAAATAAAATATTACTTTTAATAAACAGATTTTTTAAAAGGAAATAACTGGAAACTAATAATAAAATAAGAATTTAAAATAGTTACATTTGGAAAAAAGCAACAAATTTTAAATAGAAACTTGAGAATCTTGAGATGCTGTAAAATTTGGAGCATTTTTAGAGAAAATGCTTTAAATTTCCCTGCATGGCTCGGCTTCAGCGCTCTGATGGAGAACCTGCGATCTCCAGTCGCTGTAAAAACGGAATGACTTCAAATATATTTACCCTGAATTTAAGAAAGAAATAAGATTTTGATTTAATGGAAAGGGGAGTTTTTTCCTTGAAATAAGATGATCAGAAATTCTGCACTTATAGATAATAGAAATATGTCTTTTATTTTATTTTAAAGCTAAATTGTCTTTTTCCTTTGTCAGATCGTCTTACCTGCTCAGGTTGCTCTGATCTTGATAAAAACTGACTTTATTTTTAGCAGCGGTGTTCCTGCAGAGGCAGCTGGGATCATGTGACCTTTTGAACCAATCACTGCTCCTCCTGTCATGTTTACACAGAGAAATTAAAACCAGAACAAAAACCATCTTCATTCTGATTTTTCTCACTTTAACTAGAAATAACAAACGGTGACGATTGATTGGTTCATCAGACGTTTCTTCATTCAGTCTTTTGATAGAAATAATAGGCATTAAAAATACTCAAAATAATTTAGCACCTGATATTTTTGACTTTTATATATAAAAAGTTTTAAAATATCGCTCCTAAACATCAGAGAACATTTTAGCACCAATAAACTTGGTTTAATCTGACATAAAACAATGAAAAGATTAATTTGGTAACAGTGGGATGAAACCATGAAGCCGATTTAAAGTTTTACTCCTTTATGGTGCGGAAAGTACGACGGACTGTCAGGGCCAGTATGGAGACTTTTTTTTTTTCTATGCCGGGAATAAAATCGTACCATTGCGAGAATAAAGTCACGAGAATAGTCATAAAATTACAAAAATAACATTACGAAAATAAAGTCGTAACATTATGAGAATAAAGTCGAAATGTTACGATAAAGTAAAATGACAAGAATAAAGTAACATTTTAAGAATGAAATCGTAACATTTTGAGAATAAAGTCGTAAAATTACCAAAATAAAGTCTCAATATTACATTAAAGTCATAACATTATTAAAGTCGCAACGAGAATAGTCATAGAATTATGAGAATAAAGTAACATTACGAGAACGTAATATGACAATAAAGTAACATTACAAAAATAAAGTCAACATTATGAAAATGTAATATGAGAATAAAGTCGAAACATTACGATAAAGTAAAATTACAAGAATAAAGTAACATTTTGAGAATAAAGCCGTAACATTATGAAAATAAAGTTGTAACATTACAAAAATAAAGTGAAAATAAAGTCATAATATTACGAGAATAAAGTAACATTACGTAAATAAAGTCGTAACATTACGAGAATAAAGTAACATTACGTAAATAAAGTCGTAACATTACGAAAATAAAGTAACATTACATAAATAAAGTCGTAACATTACGAGAATAAAGTAACATTACGTAAATAAAGTCGTAACATTACGAAAATAAAGTAACATTACATAAAGTCGTAACATTACGAAAATAAAGTAACATTACATAAAGTCGTAACATTACGAGAATAAAGTAACATTACGTAAATAAAGTCGTAACATTATGTAAATAAAGTAACATTACGTAAATAAAGTCGTAACATTACGAAAATAAAGTAACATTACATAAATAAAGTCATAACATTACGAGAATAAAGTAACATTACGTAAATAAAGTCGTAACATTATGTAAATAAAGTAACATTACGTAAATAAAGTCGTAACATTACGAAAATAAAGTAACATTACATAAATAAAGTCGTAACATTACGAGAATAAAGTCTTATTAGAACTTCATTTTCATATTACAACTTTATTCTCAAAATAAAAAAAACTCGTACCTGGCACTAATATTGCGTCGTAGGAAATTGATGATAAACGTCCGTCTGTTCGTTAACGAGCTCCGTGTTATTTCCTGCAGCAGACGGACTGAAACTGGTTTAGACCCGATGTGAATCAGACGCGCGTTTCTGCGTTTTAAAGGAGGTCTAGCGCAGTGACGTTCATCGCGACCTCTGAGACGCATCCACACACCGCTAACCTGTACATATCTCAGAGCTCCTCTGATCTCCCGTTTTTTAATTTTTGTTGTTGATATCGTTTGCGTCGTTTTACTTTGAATAGAACGTGATGTTACTGTTTGAGCCGCCGGCCGTGAGCTCAGCGAAAGCGGAAAGGTCAGCTGAGCGGCGACGGACAAACCGAAGGACCGCAGAGCCAGGCCGCTTCCCATCGGCGGCCTCTGGGGTTCCTCAGGGAACCATTCTCGGTCCTCTTTATGTTTCATGCAGGTGTCGTGGTGAAAGGGACGTTTTTAAATATCTTTTTTTTTTTTTTTTAAAGAACTGTTTTTATTAATGCAGCCAAACGTGACTGATGTTCATATTCTGATGGATTTCCTCGTTTTTGTACTTCAGACGTCTTGTTTCTACTTCCTGTATGATGTTGATGAACCGTGTTTGACAAAGAAAGTTCATCTCTGTTTGTTTGGATTTGCAATGCAATACTTTTATAAAATATAACGTGTTTTTTTTTTTGTAATTCTGATTAATGGATGTGGAAGTTTGGGGTTGGGGAGCTGAAGAGCCTTCGGCGTTCATCGGCAGCAGAAATGCGACCACTCATCAGTCTGTTGAATTCATGTATCTGTTATTGAACTGATGATGTTATGATGAAGGCAACGGTGAGGGTTTTATTTTCTAATATTTCTGACCTGGTACTTTAATGTAAAAACATAAATAAATGTTCCCAACCACACTCCCTTTAAGTGATTTCTTATCCTTAAAAATATAAATATGTTTTACCACTTAAATTTTCTTTTATTTAAAAGTGCATTATTCATTTAATGAATTAAGTCACCTTTTTTTTCAGTCAAGATCTATTTTCATTCATTTGGATTTTTTTTATAATAAAAACAGGTTAAAAAAAAACCACAACAGAGCATTTGCATCTAAACATTCCTGAAAACCAGAAAGGTGACGACATGCAGAGTGGATACGAAATAAAAAGAACAGAAATATAAACGAAAACCCAAAGCTATCGGTGCCATACATCATAAGTTAATTTTCATTACTATTGATTGATTAATTGACTTTGATCTCACTATGGTGAAATTTAGGCCCCGTCCACACGAAGCCGAACCCTGGCCTAAACGCACAAATTTTTCACCAAACCAGCCTCTCATCCATACGAAGCCGGCGTTTCGGGGGTCTGTAAACAATCTTTTTTTTATTCAGCCTTCAGAGTGGGAAGATTTTGAAACGCCGTTTTTGCGTTTCCATCTTTACGCTCTAACCGCATATTTTTTTTACACGCATGTGTCATAGCATCGCCTCTAAGCACGCATGCGCGACCAGTATCACAACAACAATGGCGCCGTTGCTGCTAATGCTACTCACCCTGCTGTCGGGCTTACAACAGAATCTTCTTCTTCTGGAATATCTCCAGGAAGAACAGAGTAATATCGACGACACAGTTCAGCACCTGAATTTGACTTAGCCACGCCCGCAGGGCAACCATGTATAAATATTAGTGCGCATGCCCAACATTTCGTCGCCTATTTTTGCTTTGGCACCACAGCGCCACCTACAGGCCTGGCATACATTTTGCAGCGTTTTCATGCATTCGTGTGGACGATCACATTTATTTTACGTCTCCGTCTTTGTGACAAACATTCTGGAAAATATTAGCGTTTCGTGTTCGTTTTGACTTCGTGTGGACGGTGCCTTACTCTTTACATCATCTCAAATAGTCAAAGAGCAGAAGGTGCATGGGAGATATACAGCGTGTCCACATTTATTTATTTATTATTATACAGGGTTATTGCACAGGGTGTTTACACGCCTATTTCTATATTTATATAGTTATTGCACTGGGTGTCAAATATAGAGAAACAGGTTATTGCACAGGGTATTAAATAGTAATTAATTAATTAGAGTCTGGTTGCAGCAGGGATGAATGACCTGCAGTAGCGCTCCTTTTTCCAAACAGGCTGTAAAAGTCTTTGACTAAAGGAGCTGCTCAGCTGCTCTCCAGTCTGCTGCAGAGGGTGGAAGGTGGCGTCCATGATGGATGGAAGCTTGGACAGCTCCCTCCTCTCAGCCACTGAGTCCAGAGTGCAGCCTGGGACAGAAACTGCCTTTTTTTCTCCAGTTTGTTCAGTCTCTTTCTGTCCCGCTCTGTGCTGCCAGGTGTCCAGGTGTAAATCAGGTCTAGCCTGAAACACCACCCCCATAATCCCCACCCCCCTGGTATCAAACACAGACACCAGAGCAGGTAGCCAACTTGCCAAAGCATCCGCCCCCCTCCTAGCCAGTCACAACCTCAGGGGTTAGTATTGCTTTTATAGAAACACCAACAGGTTGACCAATAGAGTATGATGAATCATAAAAATACATTTAAATCATAGAATGAAAATGTTCTACTGAAGTAAAAAAAAAACAGAAAGCTAGGATTTTTTCTCCTTTTCCATCAGTGCCAGGGAGCGTCTGGGTTTAATGACATCTCTTTCTCTGTTGGAGCACAGCATCATCTATGGACGTACATCTCAGGGCATCCATGCAGGAAAAATATGAAAACAAGGTGGTGTTAGGAACAGTGAAAGACTTTGTAGACTTTAATAATGTGTTTTAACCGTGTTTCTCTTCCTTGTTTTAAGGTCCACAATCTAGGAAAATATGGGAATTAATCTCTTTCAGTAAAAGACGCCGTCTTGGTGACTTGTTCTGCTGCCTGCTGATGCAGTCCTGTTGCTAACAGCTACATTAGCCACTGAGCAGCCCGTGTTATAAAAGAAATAACAGCTGTTATTTATACTCCAGCAAAAACTGAAAAAAGTAATAACGAAATAGCGGTAAAGGGAATCAGAAATGTTGATAGTTTACAGTCTTTGTTCATTTTAACAGCAGGTTTCAGAACTCCTGTCTCAGAATATTTAATTTTATGAAAGAAAAAAAAGTTTTTGAGAGATGAAAAGAAGCCACTGCTGCAACAACGCTGGATTATAAACATGTTATTCACATCCAATTATTGGTAGGGACAAGTAGGTCGGTCCAAAATTTTGTTAGGGACATGTCCCTATTCAAACCTATGCCCATGGGTTCAAAATGTCCTAAATCCACCCCCTGTGATGCACCGGTTTCAGAACAGCTGAAATGAGTTAGTTCAATCAACTCTAAATTGACTGACTCTGAGTTAAGCGCGTGCACCACAACTATAAAAAGCCATTATCAATGGAGCACAGATATTACGAGTCACCATGGCAACAGCCTCAGACAAAAAAAAGGTGTGCATATTTCTCACCAGCAGAACTGGATGTGCTTATGCAAGCATATGCAGAATTTGAACATGTATAAAAAAAAAAAAAGCAACACGGCTGCAGCGGCGAAGGAGAGAGAGTTAGCTTGGGTGAAAATAGCTGCTAGAGTCAATGCGTAAGTTTACATTTTCATTACTTTTATACAGTGTTGGGTGTAATGAATTAAGTTACTTAAGTCATATAAATACTGTAATTAAATTAAAGACTATAAAACAATAGTGGATTTAATATCAAATTTTAAAAGGTATATTTTGATTTGAACTTTCTCCCTCTAGTTACACACTTTGGTCAATTTAAGATTAATTCATGCAATTGAATATTGTTTATTTGAAAGCATTAGAAGTGCAGTTTCTTGTCTCTCCTTGTATTGTTCAAGTTCTTGAGGTTGATTTGGGATTTAGAAAGTAATTAATAAGTAAGTAAAACAAATTAGTAAGTAGACCAATACTTTCTAGAGACAGTAATTATTACATTAATCTAATTAGACTTGTTGAAGATAAAATTTGTAGTTAGTAATTAAGAACTATTTTAGAGTAACTTACCCAATTGTTATAATATCAGAGGTGAAATTGGAAGAACAGTATTTTATTAAACCTAATTTAGTTTTCATGGATAGGTGCAATCCTGCAGGCATCAAAAGAACATGGCAGCAGCTGAAAATGAAATATAAAAACATACTTCAAGCAGGTAAGCCTTGAGCACATCATGGGAGTAGAGTAGCTACCTGGCTTTAAAAACAGGATCATCCATAAAAGGACATGCCATTTCATTCCCTTTGATGCGCTCTACGTGACTGAAATGTGTGCAATGAATACTGTATGTCCCCAAAAAATCAATGAGGTGTTTAAACACCACTTCCTCTTTAAAAAAAGGGAGGAGACCAAAATAAACTCTGGATTTTCTGAAGAAAACCTGCTCCCGACCAGCTTACAGAGTTCACATAGTAAATTGCCATGGTAACTGACTCTGAGTATAAGTTACCTCTCTTTCAGAAACGGGTTTGACTTACTCTGCTTTCTCAGGTTTAACTTACCTCCCTTTCTGAAACAGAAAACTCAGTTTCCCTCATTTCAGGGTTAACAAACTCAGAGTTTTCACTTAACCTCCTTTCTGAAACAGGCCCCAGGTTCACACAGACACAATAGGTATCTATTTATTGTTTTTATTATTTTATTTCCAACAATTAAAAAAACATTTCAAAACAATATCTAAAGTTAAAAAGCATCATATTTCAAATAAAATACAAACAAAAATTAAACCTCAAGATCTATGCATAATGGGTCTGTTGTCTTTTCAATACAGAGGGCCCCCTGTCTGTCTTTGCCTAGGGCCCCAAATTTCCTAAATCCACCCCTGATAAAAAAATAAGATTATACATAAACTGGTTGAAATGAATAGAATCAAATTCAACTTTATTGTCACAAGTACAAAACAATGAAATGTATTTGCATCTATCAAATGATTATACTGAAACTAATACATATTTGGATAAAATAGTATAACAATATGAACAATTAATTAAACTATAGCATATAAATCATTACAGCGGTACTTAAATTAGGAGCTGATAAAAATTTATAGATAAAAAAGTGATTTAAAAGGACAGAAAAACTGCAGTTCAGCCTGAAAATGTGTGACGTCACATCCGATAATTGCCTCGCGCTCTCCTCAGCGGGGCGCGTGCTGCTCCCCATTCATCCACTAATTCTAATTAGCACATCGGCGCGTGCGATCGGAACAATGTGGATCAAAAGATCAAAAGGCAGAGCGCGAGAGGACTGCGCGCGCCCGCTCCGCGCGCGTCCACACAGCTGTACCCACCTACCGCCGCTGTTGTCATGGTGACCCAGATACCCGCCTGATCGGGTGTGTGTGCACGAGCGGCAGTAAGGAGGGAGGAAAGGAAGGTATGAAGGAAGGAGGGAGGGGAATCAGTCCGTGAAAGAGGAGGAGAAGGAGGAGGAGGAGGAGGAGGAGAGGGTGTTCTGCCGAGGTGGACGTGGCGGGTCCGGAGGACTGAGTTACAGCGGCGGAGGGGAAACCGAACCGAACCGAACCGAGAAAAGCCAGATTAGCGGAACATGAAGCGGACCAGCCGCAGGTAAGAGGCTCCTTCTCCGGGGATTTCCTCCTCAGCTCCGAGCCGCGGAGCTCCGCTCGGTTCGGAGCCTGTTTAACGGTCTGATGGGGGACCGGGCCGTCGCTGTGATCGCCCCCGGTTCTGCTGCTCGGTGCCCGGATGTCAGCAGCCCCCTGCTCCCTGCAGGAAGCGGCCCCGGGCGGCTGGAAGCGGCCGATGGAGCTCCTCCCGCTGCGGCCGCCGCACTCTCACTTTCAGAGGGATGCTAGCTGTAGCTAGCTGCGCTGCTGCTCGGTAAACAAGATGGCCACTGGCTAGCTGCTACAGGCTAACAGCTCGGCCCTGCTGCTGCGGCTCCCTCCGCACACAGCAGCACCTTTCCGCAGGAAACGGTGAGCTGGAGGCGGAGGGAGACCCGCGGCTGGAGGGGACGGCCGCCGCCGTGCGTGGGTCAGTGTGCGTGAGGCTGCGTGGCTGTGACAGCAGCCAGGTAACGGTCAGCACCTCCGGGTCACTTCCTGGGATCTGGAAACGATTTCACTGTTTTCCAGGTTAGGGAAAAAACTTTGACCTAATTTCCTCTATGATTAAAATAACTAATCAGGATTTTTTTTTAAATAAACCAGGGGATAAAAATTAAAAATGTCTTTTATTTCATTTAAATTCTATTCAGTTTATTTCTATAGCTCCAATTCAAATCATGTCATCTCAGGTCACTTTCCAGTTCACCAGATCATCCAGTCAGATTGATTCAAAGTTTTCTATCTAAGGAAAACCAGCTGATTGCATCGACTCATTGACTCTTCAGCAATCCCTCACACTAAGCATGCTTGTAGCGACAGTGGAGAGGAAAAACTCCCTTTGAACAGGAAGAAACCTCCAGCAGAACCAGGCTCAGTGTGAGCGGCCATCTGCTGAGGCCCACTGGGGTTCAAGGAGACAGAAGCAGACATAGAAAAAGAAGCATAGATACAAAAGGCTCCACAGGCGGCCCCGTCCAGGAAACACACAGCCAGGCAGACGAGCTCCGAGCCAGCTCCCATGTCAGAGGATGAAGAGAGCACATCCAGTTAGTCACAGTCAGAGAAACAGGACTACACTGGAAAACAGGCCAAGCTCCAACATTTAGAAACAAAGGTGGTGATGGCAGCAGCACAGCTGATATTTCTCTCCAGGATGGAGTCACAGCCAAACAGGAACAGACCAGATGAAGCTACTATGAGAAAAAGCAGAGAGAGCAGAACGTTAGAGATTGATCTAACAGATTCTGCAGAGTGGGAGAATAGAGATAGAATGAAGCAGAATGATGAAAAAGGGGTCCCTATGTCCTCCAGCAGTCTAAGCCTATATCAGAAGAACTATACTAATGGGGATCATGGGGTGTTTGTCGGATCTGTTTTTCCCACTCTGTTATTCTTTTCATGCTAAATATTTGTATGATTATTGATTATTTCATTTATACGATAATCTGTCAATTATTTTTCAAATGATTTAAATTGATTATTTCCCAATAAACACACATTTGGAATATATCAAAAACTTATTGTGCTAAATCTATGTCTCTATATTTTAATGTGTATAGAAATATATTTGTAGAGTTTTGTTAGAATTACTGCTGTAGGTATCTAATTCTTTCAGCAGTGGTCGGTTATAGAGTCTATGTACCATAACTCTAGGTAGTGATTGGATTGCAAAATTATTTAACAATTATTAAATGATAAATAAAGTTTAATCTGATTGTTTCAGCCCTTAATAAATATAATCTTAACATCTTTATGAATAATGATTATTTACCATCTCAGCTGCATTAATATTGATGTTGGCCTCGATCCTCTCTATAGATCCTCTCTATAGATCCTCTCTATAGATCCTCTCTATAGATCTTCTCTATAGATCCTCTATAGATCTTCTTTATAGATCCTCTATAGATCTTCTCTATAGATCTTCTCTATAGATCCTCTCTGTAGATATTCGCTATAGATCCTCTATATAGATCTTCTCTATAGATCCTCTCTATAGATCCTCTAGATTCTCTATTGAACTTCTCTATAGATTCTCTATAGATCTTCTCTATAGATCCTCTATAGATCCTCTCTATAGATCCTCTAGATTCTCTATAGATCCTCTCTAAAGATCCTGTCTGTAGATCCTCTCTATAGATTCTCTATAGATCTTCTCTATAGATCCTCTCTGTAGATCCTCTCTATAGATTCTCTATAGATCTTCTCTATAGATCCTCTATAGATCCTCTCTATAGATGCTCGCTATAGATCTTCTCTATAGATCCTCTCTATAGATCCTCTCTATAGATCTTGTCTATAGATCTTCTCTATAGATCTTCTCTATAGATCTTCTCTATAGATCCTCTCTGTAGATATTCGCTATAGATCCTCTATATAGATCTTCTCTATAGATCCTCTCTATAGATCCTCTAGATTCTCTATTGAACTTCTCTATAGATCCTCTATAGATCCTCTAGATTCTCTATAGATCCTCTCTAAAGATCCTCTCTGTAGATCCTCTCTATAGATTCTCAATAGATCTTCTCTATAGATCCTCTATAGATCCTCTCTATAGATGCTCGCTATAGATCTTCTCTATAGATCCTCTCTATAGATCCTCTCTATAGATCTTGTCTATAGATCTTCTCCATAGATCCTCTCTATAGATCCTCTCTATAGATCCTCTCTATAGATCTTCTCCATAGATCTTCTCTATAGATCCTCTCTATAGATCCTCTCTATAGATCTTGTCTATAGATCTTCTCCATAGATCCTCTCTATAGATCTTCTCTATAGATCCTCTCTATAGATCTTCTCCATAGATCTTCTCTATAGATCCTCTCTATAGATCCTCTCTATAGATCCTCTCTATAGATCTTCTCCATAGATCTTCTCTATAGATCCTCTCTATAGATCCTCTCTATAGATCTTCTCTATAGATCCTCTCTATAGATCCTCTCTGTCAGTGCGTGGTTCAGTCTGTTACATCACTTCCTGTCTCTGAAGCCGTTCCATCATGGCTGCTTTCAGGAACTTTTGATGTTTCAATAAATGCTGGAAAATAACTTTCAGTCGACAAACAAGAAAAACCGAAGCAGAACTGAAACTGAGAATCGGAGAATCGTTTCTGTGTCGGTCCTAGAGATCAGGGGCCCAGAGGGGCCAAATTAGTTTAACGTGCTGAAAGCATCACTGATTGGTTCCCAGGATCACGTTTTACCTTCAAAGGTTAAACTGCTCCGGGGCCACAGGGGCCCTTTGGATCTCTGGCTCCATGCTGGTAAAGTGAAAGATGTGATCCAGGACTGAGTGGTGCTTAGAGCAAAGAGGCCTGGAGCTTCCTGCTGGTTCTGGTCCTGGTCCTGGTCCTGGTTCTGGTAGCAGGTCTGAAACGGATCAATGCTTCAGTCAAGAAACGTGCCGGAAAGGTTGATCCGTTTCATTGAGGCTGATGAATAAAAAAATGGCCTCCTGGTTCTGGTTCTGGTCTTGGTCTTTGTCTTGGTCCTGGTCCTGGTCCTGGTCCAGGTTCTGGTTCTGGTCCAGGTCCTGGTTCTGGTCCTGGTTCTGGTCCTCCTGACCTCTGCTCCTCTCTCCGCAGGCTGCTTCCAGTTGGGTGACGGCGCTGCGTTCACGGACCGCCTCCTCGCCATCTCTGGATTCCTCTCAACCTTCGGATCAGAACCGAGCCTTCCAGCGGTCGTGGAGCGAGGAGGAGGAGAAGAGGCGGGGCTTATCGACCTCAGCGATTCTTCAGGTGTAGGTTCGGGGTGCGGTGAGGAGGCTCGGCTCCGCCCCTCGCCATGACGGACTTGGAGGCTGAGTGTCTGAGCCTCGGCCTGCCGCAGGACTGCGACTCGCCTCCCCCGCCTCTGGATGCCTCCCTGCAGGTGGACTGCGGCCCGGGGCCCGCCGGCTCGGCGCCCGGCCTGGCCCTCCTCTCCTCGGACTGCCCCACGCCCACCCTCAGCTCGCTGGCGGCGGAGATCGCCGAGCCGCTGGTGATGCTGCCGTGCGTGAAAAGCGAGCCGGAGGACGGGGACCTGGACCCCATCCGGACCGTCGACCTGTCGGAGATCCAGCCGCTGTCCACCGCCGAGCTAGGCCACGACCAGATCAAGATGGAGATCAGCGGCCTCGACTACATCAAGTCTGAGCACCATGGTCACCATGGCAACCCCCACCTGGGCCCGTTTCACCACGCAAATGTGTCGGAGCTGGACTACAAGTCGCACTACGAGCCGTGCTCCGTGTTCGACTACATCTCCCAGGTACCTGACCCGCCGGGTCCGTTTGGACCCGCAGCAGAACCTCAGACCCAATCTGAGTACTTGTGCGTCCTCGTGTCCTCGTGATACGTCATCAGCCTCAGCCCTAGTACTGTTCCAGTTCACTGTTCCCATGTTCCCCGGATGTTGTTCTGGCCCCTCCCTCTTTACCCAGCATGCATCAGAGCCGGGGCTAACGTTAGCCCGTCTGCAGCAGCCAAAGAAGTTTATCTGTGTTCATTATTATTCCTCCACTAAATGAAACAAGTCCTCATTTATTACCTAATTAATAACAGGAGGTTAACTGCAGCTCCAGACTAGCTTTAAATGTGGTGATGTCATCAGTACGCGTCTGTTCCAATTGACCCAGATTTATGCTGCGTCCAGACTTTACTGGGTTCTTCTCCGGAACAGACTTGGTGAGAACACGAGTCCGTGCTGGCGTTCTAGTGAATCGGGAAACGGCCTGAGTCTGTAGAGCAGAAAGTTCTGACAGAAACCAGCAGAACCAGAGGAGCTAAAAGGTTCTGGTTCTTTTCAGTGGAACAATCATAAAGTTTCTGTGTGGATAAAATAGTCTGAACTTCTCCATGAATTTTAAATCCAGCAACCTTTTAGTTTTTATGTTGATCCTTTATTTTCTACCAGTATATAAAAATCAAACCCATGAAGTCTGAGGCTGCGTTCACACAGCGGTCTGAAGTCAACCGAATATCATTTGTTTTGCTCACCTGGATGTGATCTTTAAACGACTGAGCAGCACAGATCCCATTCCTTCCAATGCGACCCAGAACGCTGGACCCTGTGGTCCTCAATACGATACGAATCTGATATTTCATGCAACCTGTGTCTGAGCAGGTCGCAGTCATCCCACCTGAACACCATTAATACCCGACAAAGGTCACTATTCTGCGTCTCGCTACGCAGAAGCGCCAAGAAAAACAACCACCATGGCGGACGATGATGCAGAAAATAATATTTATTTTTATTCTTCTTGGAAAGATTGTCTGTTAAATCCGTGGCAGAGGATGGGAAACAAAGGAAAGATCTCTAGATGCGCTCCAGCGCTACCGTCCATGTTTGCTTCCATAAACGCAGAGCACGCTCGCATGTGACGTCATAGCGTCCTGTACTTAAAGGTATAGTAAAGGATATTCCTTTTCTGGGTGGATCATCTCAATCAGTGGTCCTTCTAGCTGTCAATCATTGAGGTGATGTGTTTCTGTAAGGCCGTTGTAGGTACCAGATTGACTCGGGGGGCCTGCGCCTTTTGATGACGTCATAATATGGCAACTCCGCCCGTCACTATATGGCAACGCCACTCGTAACGATATGGCAACTCCACTCAAACAAACTACATTGCGCCCGCTGTCTCTATTTATTCTCGTTACAAATGCAGACCGCGGGCTCAATGTAGTTTGTTTGAGTGGCGTTGCCATAATGTGACGTCATCGGGAGGCGCAAGGCCCATGGCGAATTCGGTGACGTCATCGGAAGGCGCAGGGAGCATGGAGAATTTCTTCGTAAAATTGTCCGTTTACAAACCGCAATCCCGCTTTCGAATAAAAACCTACACCCCGCTATAATTACTTTAGTAAGCTGTCCAGACCAATCAAAATGTTTCGCGAAATTGTGCAAACGTTAAAACAATTATGCATTGTGACGTCATCAAAAGGCGCAGGCCCCCGAGTCAATCTGGCAGCCCGAGTCAATCTGGTACCTACACCGTCCTTCGTGCTCGTCCCAATCTTCTCTTACCGCTGGTGAGTCTGACATGGTGGAAAAATTGCAAATCTTCTTTAGGAAAGTAAGCTTTGATGAATGATGCGAACAGCAACTTTTAAACAGAGCGTGCATGAGGAGAAATGGGCCCGTGCACGCTCTCACACTCGTTTAACAGGCGTTCCCTCTTGGGAGCACCTACAGGGATTTGCATGTGCCTGTTTTTGAAAGAGGAGAGGGCAGGTCTTTACAAAATCTCAAGAAAATCCTCCACCATACCTTAAAGCTCTGAACACACCGGTTGCATACGACTTTTTAATCTCCGATCCGATTTTTTTCCCATGTGACCAGGACTACGTATAGAGAGGCTCCGACTAGGCAGGATGAGCAGATCAGAGCAGATTATTTTCATTTCTGTCTCTGCGCTATAAACACATAAAATCTATTTCCCACATTTAAACTGGAACAGATTATGAAAAGTTATTAAAAAACAATGTCTCATTCTATAAAGCAAAGCTCTACTTAACTAATCTGTGTAGAATCTAGAACCAGAACAGATAGATAATGTTCATATAATAAAAACATAATGTGGTCTACGTCTAAAGAAAAGAAAAACACATCAGTAAACGGCGTGGGATGGTTTCTATGGTGACTGAGACAGAGAGGTTTGATATCACCACTAGCTTGGCTAATTTGGAGCTGCATTTCACCTCCTGTTATTAATAGTCTCTAGATAATAATAAATGATGACTTGTTTCATTTAGTGGAGGAATAATAATGAACACCGTCAGATAAACACAAATCAAATGAACATTTTGACAAACAAAACAATCAAACCTCCATCAGAGGCAGCGGTCTTTCACACATGGCTATGCAGAGAGAGGGCTGCTGCAGACGGGCTAACGTTAGCCCCTGGCCGCTGCAGACGGGCTAACGTTAGCCCCTGGCCGCTGCAGACGGGCTAACGTTAGCCCCTGGCCGCTGCAGACGGGAATAGACAAGTCTGCTCTGATGTATGCTGGGTAAAGTGGGAGGGGCCAGGACAACATCCTGGGACTTTCTCTGTTCTTGGTCTTCTTGTTCTTGTGAACTAGAACAGTGCTAGGGTGATGACGTTTCACGAGAACGCACAAGAACACACAGTGAGAAACGGCCCAGCTATTCGTTACACGTCCAGTTTTACTCTCAACATAAGAAGCTTCAAGTGTAAAGATGAAAGCGCCTGAATCCCACACATGTAAAGACGTAGAAGAATGAAAGCAGAAGAGAGGAAAAAAGCTTCATTTCATCATATTTAAATTCACTTTAAACTCTGATTAGGATTAGAATAATGACAAATCTACCATTTTTCATGATTTAGTATACATGTAGGAGAGCTGCACACACCTGGTGTCTGATGCTGCAGGGCGGAGCCAGGCTGAGAGGACAGCCAGCGTCGCGTTCAGGAAGGAATCCCAACAGGATGTAGATCCTCAGCGTCACTCTCAGATCCACTCAGCTAGACGTTTAAGGAGGGATGTTTTGCTTTAGTGGACGATGACTTCATACGATCAGAGGAAACGGATCCCAATAAAATTAATTTAAGCAAAGTCAACAAAGTCGTGCCTGAAATGATTCATTAGTCTGACAGATCTGGATTCTAGATGTTTTCTTTCTATCTATTAGAACATGATGATAAAGGAAGGATAAAACATCTGAGGAAGGTTTGCTATGAATGCAGGGGAACACATTCCCAGAGGGAACCAAGTTAAGCACAACACCGGGTCAAAACGAGGCTCTACTCAGCCTGCGGTGTTTCATCATGTCGGCCCTGCACTTGGCGCGGCGCCTCTAGTCGCCTTGTCACGTCTTTAATCTGTCGATGTTCTGCGTACTCTTCCCATCGGCAGAGAACAGGCTGCAAAGAGCAGAAGGCTGTTAGAAATATTTACAAGATTTTATTTATCTTATTGATCTTCAGCCAGTAATGAAGCGTCTCTCAGAAAGCTGGTCTTCATCGTTGCTTTTTAAGGATCTCTGCATCTGTTCCACTGAGCAGTTCTCTGTACCGAGGTCTGAAGCCTCAGCTGTTCTCCTGGAGGATCTAGGGTTTCTAGAAGGTACCTGCGGACATTTCTTTGGGACGCCACCAAGCGGCTGGAATGCATTTCAGATGCATTCATTTCTAAGCATAAAGCCTCCCCTGCTGGTTTGATTGCTCCTGCAGGAACAGAGCGACTTCCAGCAGGTCAGAGTAGAGCGGACTCACTGCGCAATGCTGACAAACTGAAACTAATTCCATCCACACTGAGGAAACTCAGGATTTACCAGCGTCGCTCAACTGAAAGGATATAAAAGCAGATTAAATCCCACAATCATTGTTCAGGTTTCATGTAGCGTAGCTCAGCGATGATGATGACATCTCAATATTATGAGATAAGCTGTTAGATCTTCTTTGGTGAATGAGTTACGCTTCCGTTGGTCGGCACCGGTTCTGCTCCATTCTTGCAGCTTCCTCAGAACCTCCCTGGTTACTGATACTTTTTGTCTGTTCAGGTCCTGCTGAGGTTTAGGGTTTAGACCGGACTCAGGGGTCAGAACTTCTCCTGGTCCAACTCATCAGGTCTTCTCTGAAACCCAGTTTGATGCAAAGTGTTTGTCCTCCTCAGGTTACAGATACTCTGGAGTACATCAAGTCGGACCACGCCATGGACCTGCACTGTTACTACGAGCTGGGCTCCCTGAAGTCGGAGTACTCTGAGTCCACCGCCATGTCGGCCCACCTGCACCACAACGGCTTGGAGTCCATCCACATGGCCGAGCTGCGCACGGAGCTCAACAAGCTGCGGCCGGACGCCCTGCTGCTGGATGGGATGGGCAAACCGGACCCCGAGTTCGGAGGGGGGACGCTGTACGAGCTCCAGCCCGTCCAGGACGGGGCGGGGCGGGCCAGCCAGGCCGGAGGGGCGCCGGGTTTGCTCATCAAGACAAAAACCCAGAGTCCCACTGTGAGGAAACCCAGGAACATGCAGGGGGAGAAACCCTTCTCCTGCGCCCAGTGTGGAAAGAACTTCAGCACACTGGGAAACCTGAAAACCCACCAGCGCATCCACACCGGCGAGCGGCCCTACACCTGCTCGCAGTGCGGCAAGAGCTTTGGCCAGGCCGGCAACCTCAAACGCCACCAGCTGATTCACACGGGCCAGAAGCCCTACGTGTGCGCCCACTGCCCCAAGGGCTTCACCAAGGCCGACGACCTGCGCTCACACCAGCGGCTGCACACCGGCGAGCGCCCCTTCATCTGCGCCGCCTGCGGCAAGAGCTTCGGCCAGTCCAAGGAGCTGAAGGCGCACCAGCTGAGCCACACGGGCGAGCGGCCGTACTGCTGCCAGCACTGCGGCAAGAGCTTCACCAAGGAGACCAGCTACCGCAACCACGTCCAGATCCACACGGGCGAGAAGCCCTTCTCCTGCTCGCAGTGCGGCAAGACTTTCAGCAACTCCGGCGTCCTAAAAACCCACGAGAAGATCCACACGGGCGAGCGGCCGTTCGGCTGCACGCAGTGCGGGAAGAGCTTCGGTCGCCTCGGCCACCTGAAGGCGCACCAGCAGATCCACACCGGCGAGCGGCCGTACGCCTGCCCTCAGTGCGGCAAGACTTTCAGCCAGTCGGGCCACCTCAAAGCGCACGAGCAGATCCACAAACGGGAGCGGGCGGACACGGCCAGCACCAGCAGCGACGGCGGCAGCAGCAGCAGCGGCGTGAGCAGCGACAGCAGCTAAAGCAGAACCTTTAACCTCCGGAGAAACAAAGTATTATTCCTGTTTTTATACGATAGAAAGTTTTCTTACATTTTCATACCTTTTGTGCTCTTTTACATTTTATCTGTGGGCAGTGAACTTATGCAAGGCTGAGTGACTGAGTGAGTGCGTGCGTGACTGAGTTCACCTTATATACTGTGTGTCTGAGGGGGGGGCGGCGCTGGACCGGCTCTTCAGGACCGGTCCCTATTTTTGGAGTACTTATGAAACACAAGCACAAAAGTTTCATGTTTTTTTGTTTTATATTTACGTGTTTTTACTGAATGGGACCATCAACGCCGGACTGACCAGAACTAAATGAAATGTTTTAGATCAACTTCCTGTTTTCGGGTCACCATCTGCAGAAGGAGAAAGTCTGCAGCTCTGATCCGGTTCCGGCGGTTTGTGGGTTAATAACTTCAGGTCTGTTCCGTGTGAAATTCTGGCCTCGGAGGGCGTCCTGCTCGCAGCAGCGGCTCCTCTGAGGCCGCCGGTCGTCTCCCGTTGATGACCGACGCAGCCGGCGTCTGTTGCTGACGATAATCAGGCAGGAGCCTCTTGCTCCGTAACATTCCACGTTATTTTTCTCAAGCTCGGTGGGAAAATCGGGCCCCTAAGGACCAAGCTCAGCACAAACATCCCAGCACCCCCCCAACCATGGAGATCGCTCACTGTGTACAAATCTTTAACGAATGATGTTGTTCCAACAAAATGTAACAAGAAAAGACAAAGTGATGCAGCATCTTGTTATTAAAGAATCTGATGTTACCTTTAAATCTCTGCTTCCTCCTTCCAGCAGGAAAAACCAAAAACATCGACCTGAATATTATTATTAAAGTTTATTTGATAGGGACAGACACACATTTACATAGACGAACTGAATGAAACAGCAGTCACATGTTTGCATCATGGTGCAATAGCAACAGCTAATTCACAGCACTAATAAAGGAAAAGTCCGGTCAGCAAAGAATAATCATTATTTATACCTAAAACTGATACGTTTGCAGTGATTTAATGAATTTAGTGTCAATCATTTTTGCCCAAATATAGTAGCCCCTCCCTCCTGCCATCTTCCAGCAGTGACGTCACGGTGCGGTAAGCCTAGCGCCATTCTCCCCGCTTTACAAGCTAAATCAATGGGAACTACTAGACACATCTGCAATCAACAACAATTATTGAAGATTTCCAGAGGACTTCACCATTGAAATTCACCAGAGCTATAGTGAAACTGACAATGCCCACGTGCATGGCAGCTGGATGCTGGAATACATCGGGTAAAAGTAAAAAAAAAAGAGTTATTCCACCTTTCTGATTCCTGATCCTCCACGGACGGGTTGGTCGTTGGATCGCCAACTTGAAGAGGGAGGATTTGCCATCGAACTTCTGGCCAGAGAAAAAACCCGTAATATGTAGCCAACATTTGGAAGAAGAATGTTTTCAAGATGACTTGGATAATAGCGCGTTGTGACAAACACCAGATACAGCACCGGGACTTGATCAACAGCCGATACCGCACCATGACGTCACTAACCAGTAGTTGGCAGTAGTGTTCTTTGACAAACATGGATGCCTCCAGTAAAGCACATTCACATGAAAATTACTCTGAATTAAAAACACTGATCATTTATTGAACAGGATGGAATCATTTCAGATTTAAAGAACTTTCAGAAGTTTGAATTCTGAATATGAGCGACTTTTCCTTTAAAACCAGCGTCCAAAAGCCTCAGCACTGATAGTTGATGCAGACGTAGACTTTTTACCCTAAAATCTTCAGAATAATTGATCAGAAAATGCTTTTTTTTAAGTTTCTTAATATTATTTAGCAGAGTTTAGACATTCTGACCAGCACCCAATTTTCCCCCAGCGTTCCAAGAAAAGGACGGACCCAAATCTGCTTCTGATTGCTGAGAAAAAATCTTTGTTTTGTTTTTTTTCCCTAAAATGAGCCGAAACTGGGATGGAGAATTAGGACCATAATAAATGACGTATACATATTTAAATAATCCTACAGTTGCAAAATTACTAGAATAAAGTTTTACCATTATAAAGTCGTAACATTACCTAAATAAATTTGCAACACCAGCAGTATGAGTCATATTTTAAAAGCAGCACCTGAATAATCTTTGTAATGATTTAACATTAGCATAATAAAGTTGTACTTCCACCAAACTCCTCATGATTTTATCAGAATAAAGTCTTAAACATCTCCAGAAAAACATGGTAATTGTGAGGGACCAAACTTAAATAAGGACAAAAGGTGTTCAAAATTTGAAAAGCTTTTATTTAATTGTGTCAAAAATGGTTAACAAAGGCTCAAAGCAATACAAAATAACTTAAATAATAAATAACATGGATCTGGGCCCAACTTAATGGAGGTCAACTGAAGATCCAACTCAAATAAAACTGACCTGCAAACAAAGAACTAAAGGCTGCCTAAAAAGGGATGTAGTAACCCAAGTCTACCACATGAGGGAGGCACAACATAACAAAATAACCAATAAATACAAAATTAACCATACTATGAAACAAATAAAGCTAAACTAACTTTAACTTAGCAGAAACAATAAGTGGGTATTTAAGTGACAAACTAATTAAAAACAACTTGAAACAAGTCTCCCCCGTCAGTCTTTCAAAAATGGTACGCTCCAGGTTTGCTCCTCCAGCTGGTTTGCATCAGCAGCACCTCAAACAAAAGAACAAGTGGAAATAAACAGTTCAGACAGACATTAAAGTGTGCACGAATAAACAACGTAAACATTAACTGTAATATAATATAAAGCAAGAAAAAAATACTAACATGATGTGGTGGGAGGATCATCCACCACAGTCAAAGTGTAACACTACCAGTAAAAAAATACTGTAACACAATTATAATATTACTGATATACTTGGAACATTACTGGATCAAAGTCGTAACAAAGTCATGACTCAAGAATAAAGTAATAACAGAATAAAGTAAAGTAATTAAGTTGTAACATTACCAAAATAATGTAACATTGGAATAAAGTTAAAGATAAAGACGTACCAAGTCCTAACTCACCCAGAATAGTTTCTACATTACGCTGAGGAAGTCGCAATAAAGTTAGAGTTAGATTAGGATAGAGTCTAAACACCGCCGGGATAAATTTGTAACATTTTTGTTTTTATTGTATTTAACACTTTATTTAGACAAGAAAATATCTTGAAACTTGTGTCTCATTTACAAGAGAAACCTGTTTTACAAGAAAACTAACTGTTAGCAGTCCAAATATCAGCAATGATTAAACGAAGCACAGTAAAAACAAACCAGAATACAAACATTATTGAAATGATTAAAATCAGGTGTTTGTTCCTATAAATGTCGTATTTAAATGTGATCAGATCAGATTAGGTCCTGCTGAAGCATCGGGGAGGGGCGGCCTAGTGGTTGGAGCATTGTGAGGTTCTGAGTTCCAGTCCCACTCCCACAGACTGCCACTCTGGGTCCCTGAGCAAGACCCTTAACCCCACACTGCTCCCTGGGCACCGCACAGTGGCAGCCCACGGCTCCCCAAGGCGATGGGTTAAATGCATAGAGCTAATTTTGTTCCTCTGTATCTGTGACAGTGGAACGTCAATAAAACACTGAAGAAAGCACGTCCCTGCTGGATGGACCAGAGTGGGAGAACCCTAACCCTTTTTTTTCCAGGTTCATTACGCACCAAAGGAACGCTGAAAGAGAATAAATCCTGCGAGCGACGACTCTGGCATTGCTGATTGCACGAGATAAAACATGACAAATAGAAAGGTACTAGATGGAAAATGGATGTTACCAAGATAGAGTCACATCATCTAGATAAAGTCATTCCGTAAAAATTCAAAAAATATCCACTGGACTTGGTTTTCAAGATTTGAAGACGTTTCTCCACCTCTCCAGGAAGCTTTCTCAATTCAAATGTCTGGATCCGCAGTGAGTTTGAGTCTTATATAGACAACGCCTTGTATCGCTTGGAAACATGCAATGGTAACCGATGAATGGGTCGTTAGTTCCATCGTTAGCCTGTAATATCTGAACCTGTCTATGATTCTAGGGGTCGGTCGTTAAAGGGGGGATTGCCATTAAGGGGGGGGGATTGTCTCCTGTAATACCTGAAACCTGTCTATGATTGTTAAGGGTTGGTCGTTAAGGAGGTATTGTTCACCGGCTGGGGCGGGTAGATCCCTCGTTCCTCTGTGATGGGGTGGGGGGTTTGGTGATATCTGGAAGGGATCATGTCTATGATTGAATTGTATGTTTTTGGAAGCTGGAATCTGAGTCCGCCACCTCTGTTTAAAGTTGGTTTTTCTCTATTAACATAGATGGCTTCCTTCACGCCCCTCTCAAACCACCTATTTTCTTTATCCAAAATATGGACATTCTGGTCCTCAAAAGAATGTCCTTTGTCCACAAGGTGTAAGTGTACTGCGGAGTCTTGTCCAGAGGCGGCCGCTCTTCTGTGTTGGGCCATGCGTCTGTGGAGAGGTTGTTTTGTTTCGCCAATATAAAGATCAGAGCATTCCTCGCTGCACTGAACAGCATATACCACTCTGCTCATGTTCGGTCTGGGGGTTTTATCTTTAGGATGCACTAGCCTCTGTTTAAGGGTTAAGGGAACAATACCTCCTTAACGACCAACCCTTAACAATCATAGACAGGTTTCAGGTATTACAGGAGACAATCCCCCCCCTTAATGGCAATCCCCCCTTTGACGACCGACCCCTAGAATCATAGACAGGTTCAGATATTACAGGCTAACGATGGAACTAACGACCCATTCATCGGTTACCATTGCATGTTTCCAAGCGATACAAGGCGTTGTCTATATAAGACTCAAACTCACTGCGGATCCAGACATTTGAATTGAGAAAGCTTCCTGGAGAGGTGGCGAAACGTCTTTAAATCTTGAAAACCAAGTCCAGTGGATATTTTTTTAATTTTTACAGAATGACTTTGACCTGGATGACTGAGAACCTTCATCAGCATCTAGATAAAGTCGTAACACTTCCAGAACAGTAGGCTACCAGAAACAGGCTAAGTTTTAATAAAGTTAAAAAGTACTAGCAAAGTGTAATATTACGAATATAAACTTGTAGCTCTATCAGAATAACATCTTAACAATAGCAGATGAAATAAAGTCTAATTAACTAAGATAAAGTCTTAAAACTACTAGAAGTGGAGGTTATAGATGGGCCTGTAGTTCTGATGGACCAATTTGTCCAACCTTCTGTTTTTCAACAATGGTTTGATAATCGCTGTTTTTAAGACTGTTTCTGATTTGAACCAAATCAGAATCTAAAAAAGCTAAAACCTTATTAAAACCTGAGGGTAAAACATCAAGACGGCAAGAAAAAGGATTTCTTCTAAACACCATGCATCTGTTTTCATCCGCTTTGTCCGGCGCCGGGTCGTGGAGGCAGCAGTTTACGCCCAGACTTCCTGATCCACACTCACCTCCTCCAGCTGCTCCCCAGGGGGACACCAGGCCAGCTCAGAGACATCGTCCCTCCAGCGTGTCCTGGTCCTTCCACCAGACCTCCTCCCAATGGGACGTGCCTGGAACACCTCCTGATGGAGGCGACCAGGAGGCACCTGGAACAGATACCTGAGCCTCCTCAGCTGGCTCCTTTCCACCTGGAGGAGCAACGGCTCTACTCCGAGCTCCTCCTGGGTAGCTGAGCTCCATTTGGGGAGCTTGTATTTGCGATCTTGTCCTTTTGGTCATTACCCAGATCTCATGATCTTCACCATGACGCTGCTCCATCCGTCCCTCAACCCTCGTGAACAAGACCCCCAGATACTTGAACTCCTCCGCTTGAGACCAGGACTCTCCCCCGTCCTGAAGAGGGTTAGGGTTAGTCCACCTTTCTCTGGTGGAGATCCATGGCCTCGGGTTTGGAGGTGCGGATCCTCTTCTAAACTGGTTGTTTCTTCTAAACTTTTGCAGTTTATTTCGCAGAATGAGGGCATTTTATTGGTTTATTAAAACTGGAGACAGCGCCTGTGCTGGAGTTGGCGTTGATGCACAGACTGCTTTTCTAAGATCTTGTATTTTCTTTGCAGAGTCATTACAGACCTTTTTAGACTGGAGTTCCTCAGCCACAGAGAGAGGAGGGTGTGTTAACCTGTCCACTCAAATGTGGGGCAAACCTTGTTGATTGTTGTTGATAATCTCAGAAAAGAAAGTTTCTCTGAGGAAGCCCTATGGATCATGATCCAGCAGCACCACATGGTGGCAAAAGTATTAATGCCACTTGAACCTACAATCCACACACCGGAAAGCAGCAGGTAAGAGAGAAAGAGACTTTTCTTTCCGTGTTTCCCTTCCTACGCTCGCCTCGAGGAAATGTCAATATATTCCAGTTTTTAGCTTTTCATAATGATATGATTCCAGGTTATATAGTTATATATGTTTTAGTTTGTTTAGACAAATGAAATGTGTTTCAGTAGCATTTAGATCTGCCTTTACTTGCTGGTACTGCAGCTAAATTATAAGGCATGTAATAATTTATAATTCAATTGTATATTCCAGTGTTGTTTCTAGGCAACTGCCTAGTATTGCCTAATGGTAAATCCTTGATAAAAATCCTTTGGCTAAAATGCCATCAGAACGCTGATAATATTAAGTGTGTCTCAGCCCCCCCCCTTCAGGGTCCACCATATTGGATCAGTCCATTTGCTGCACATGTTCAGAAAGGTCCAAACAGACAGCAGCAAACCATTTGAAAACAAACCATGCAAAGAGCAGTGTTGCCAACTTAGCGCTTTAGTCGCTATATTTAGCCACTTTTCAGACCCCTCTAGCACTTTGATTTCTAAAAAGCTCCTAGCGCCAAATCTAGAGACTTTTTTCTGCTACTGGAGACTTTGGAGACAACATCTAAAAGCAGCGAACTCTGCTCTCCAGAGCGAGTAGATTGGTAACCCCGCCTCCTGCTCTCCTCTATCTTGTCTGCTGTCATGATTCATGCAGCTATTATTTCATCCAAATGAAAAATGGAGAACAGATAAGCAGATCATGGCTTGTCTACAGTGAAAAGAAGGACTGGGTTATTTACTTTGGCCTTTTTGGAAACACTGGAAGGAGCAATCAGCTAAGTGAGCTTAGTGCTTGGAAAAAATCTTTCATTCCTTTAGAGACAGCATGAAAAGTCAGCTGAGTACAAAACATAGAGAGGAAAACAAGAAGAAAAGGGACAAGAAGAGAGGGACACAACCTAGAACAGATAATGGATGTCTATTCTATTAACATTTCTCTATCTGGAGAATGGGGCTGTTTGATGTGTTGTCTTCTCAGTTCAGAGGGCCCCCTGCCTGTCTTTGCCTAGAGCCCCACATTTCCTGTATCCGCCCCTGATTGAGTATGATCCTTACAGCCTCTATGATACATTTGGTTGTTGCTTATATCCTTCCATCAAAGACGGGAGCACTTTTCACCCTAAGAAGGAAAAAGTCATCTTCCTCACTGATCTGCTAACAGAGTTTTTATGAAGCTGTTTCTGTTATCAGTCATTTAAAAAAGGAACGACATGGACGCCATGCAGGGAGTTTAGTTCAGTTTAATTAGGAAACAAAGTGGGTTAAAGTTTTCCCTCAAAGAGTCACCATCTTTATCTGAGTCACAGCAGGAATCAAGGCGTGAAAGCAGATGAATGCTCCTCATCAGGAGGAAGAGGTTCTTGTTTCAGTAAGCAGAAAGATGATAGGTTGAGGGCTGACTCCGCCCCTTTCAGACAGCCGTTTAATGATTGGTCCTACTCGCTGGTTTCAATCACCTTTGTGACCAGAGTTCTGGTCACTGTGGTTGAGGACGAAGAAAGCCTGCAAGGAAATGGAAACGGATGAGTCTCTGTTTTTTAGTGTCTGGTTTTTATGGCCGACAGGAATGTATGAGAGACGGGGAGAGACATGCAGGAAAGGACCCAGATCACCCGTATCGATGGCTAAGGCCCCCATACATGGGTGGTGTGCGCTCACCACTGCGCCACCAAAGCACGCCCGTTTTTGGATAAAGTTAAACTTTAGAGACAATAATTGTTTTGATTATGACGGAGTATTAGAGCTAAGCTACAGATTTTTTTCTTCTATTTCGAGAATATAATCATAAAATTATCAGAATAAAGTTGTAATATTATCAGAATAAAGTCCTAAAATTTCAAGAATAAAGTTGTTATTTTATGACAACTCTTTGTTCCTTAAAATGAGGAATGTGGAGCATCATGTGAAGTTCTAATTTAGCATCGGATTGACAAATCAGGAAATCTTTTAGCAGCAGCATCAAACTGAGCGGGATGTCAAAGTGGACTCTGGTTGCTGATTGGTGGAGCTGGTCGGCCGTCATCTGATGGGCGGAGCTTCAAGCTGTCTTTCTGAAACTGGTTTCGGTTTGATGACTTCATTCTTGTAATGTTATGATTTTATTCTCAAAGTAAAACAATCTCTAGCTTGGCTCTAATATTTCATCGTATTTTGATAAAGCTGCTCTAAAACTTTTTAAAAGTCGCCTCTGTGAACCTCAGCTTCCAAAGCAGAGCCGCTAGCAGAAACGCTAATAAGGGCGGCCATTCAATAAGTAATGCACACTGAGGGGGGGGGGACTGAAAGTGGAAATCTACTCTGTTCCAACAGGAACCAGCAAAACATCCATATTTTCTAAATAAAGATAAAATATACTTTCCTACAGCTTTGCTAACATTTATTTAATCATCCATTCTGTCTAAATTAAAGGTATAATGGATAAAATCGTTTCCATCGTCATTACTTAACTACTTTTACCAGAAAAATGTTCTGCAGAAAATTAACATTTAAATGTACTAATATCTACATTAAATAGATTTTTAAGTTATTATTAAATTCGTTATTTATCTGATTTCCTAGATGACTTCCAAAGACACATAATTTTCTCTTTACCCCAAAAAACACAAAAATTGAGTTATGAAAAACTTTAATGTTAGTATATCGATGCGCATAATTAACCAAAGCGCTTTTATTGATAAGTAATCGTAATATATGAAAAATAAAAATGTTTAATAAGTTTGAATATTTCCCTTGAAGGCATTATTGCTGCCACCATCTGTATTGAGGTTCTACCAGAACTACTTACCAATCTTGGTGTCAGAATCAAACATGGCCGCCATGAAGGAGCGTGACTTTGTCTTTCCGTGTCTTTCGTTAAATTTTTGCCTGAATTGTTTTTGATTGTTTTGCTTTTACGGTTTAACACATTGACATTAGCATGCACCGCTAACAGCACTTAGCTTTCTGTCTGTGGGGGGGGGGGACTTCTTCCCAATCCTGGTGTCAGAATCCAACATGGCCGCCATGACAGACCGTGACTTTGTCTCTTTCCGTGTCTTTCGTTAAATTTTTGCCTGAATCGTTTTGCTTTTACGGTTTAACACATTGACATTAGCATGCACCGCTAACAGCGCTTAGCTTTCTGTCTGTGGGGGGGGGGACTTCTTTCCAATCATGGTGTCAGAATCCAACATGGCCGCCAAGAAAGAGCGTGACTTTGTGTCTTTCCGTGTCTTTCGTTAAATTGTTGCCTGAATTGTTTTTGATCGTTTTGCTTTTACGGTTTAACACATTGACATTAGCATGCACCGCTAACAGGGCTTAGCTTTCTGCCTGTGGGGGGGGGGGAAATCCGTTCTCACCCAGAAGATAAGGATCCAGAAGCCTCTCCATCCAGCAGCCTCCTGTACTCTGAGATCTCCATCTCCAGCCTGGTCTTAATGTCCAGCAGCGCCTGGTACTCCTGTCCCTGGCCCTCCAGGTCGGCCCTCAGCCGCATCAGCTGCTCCTCCAGAGCCGTCACCTGCACAGGTAAGCGCACACTGAGCACCGCAGCTCATATCAGCCCAATCACTCTACGGTTTGCTGTGAGGCTGCGGTGTACCTGCATCTGGAAGCCGTTCAGCTGCATGGCGTAGCGGTTCTGAACGTCAGCGAGGGACGCTTCAAGACTCGCTTTCTGCAGAGAGACGATCCAGATCAGACAACAGGAAGTAGAAACATTTGACACATGACGCTCATCATTAATCAGGGTGTTTCCCACACAGCAAAAAATCTGAATCTAGATAAGTCATTTTTTCTTAAAATAAGTGCATTTGTTCTTGAATTGAGGAAATAAAAGAGACATTTTGCCAATGGAACGAGACAATTTACACTTAAAATAAGAAAACACAATTGCATTGTCTTCTTTCAAGTGCATTTTATCCAATTATCTTATTTTAAGAGTAAAATTAAGGGTGAATACACTTAATTTAAGAAATCTTTACTTATTTCTAGATGGTTTTTGCAGTGCAGAGCTGTGCACTGGAAAAAAAACATCTAAAAATAAGTAAAAATCTAAGTGTATTTACGCTTAATGTTATTAGGTTAATGCGATAATTTGCCCATGGAATGAGTATTTTTACACCCAAAATAAGTCTTGCAATGATATTGATACCAGTATCGGGCGGGGCCCCGATCCAGCTCTATAATGGTGGTATCGGTATCGGCCAGTACCAACAGATAGGCACCGATAACATTTTTAGAGCAAAAGTTTTTTAACTTGTCCCCCATTCCAGGTAGGCAGTAAACAGGAGGAGTTCTCACCATGCTGAGCTGAGACTGCAGCTCGATCTCCAGGGCCTGGAGCTGACTCTTCACCTCCTTCACCTCCGTGGTTGTGGTCTGCAGCGTCATCTCTGCGGATCTTACCTCCTTTGTGAGAGTTTCTGCCTGGAGAAGGAGAAAATAAAAACCAGTCAGTAAAAGAATTTCTGCTGCTTTTAGTTTTAGCTTGTAGTCGGTTTTCTACCTTTGACTGGAACCATCCTTCAAGCTCTTTGCGGTTTTTGGCAGCGACGCCTTCGTAGTGTTCTCTGATCTCCTCCATGACCTTGGTGAGATCCTCCTGAGGAGCAGCATCTACCTCCACGTTCACCTGACCGCCCACTTGAGTGCGCATGGAGAGAAGGTCCTGCAGGAGCATGGAAGCAGCCGCTTTAATCCATGGATCTACAGCCGGTGCTGGAGGGGGTGAAGCCACCAGTGTTTACCTCCTCATGGTTCTTCTTCATGGACGCCAGCTCGTCCTTTAGGCTGTCGATCTGCATGGTCAGGTCGTTCTTGCTCACGTTTATTTCCCCGATCATCATCTTCAGCCCGGCGATATCGGCCTCCACGGACTGCCGCATGGACAGCTCATTCTCATACCTGCACAGGAGCCGGCAGAACATCAGGGGAGGAGATCAGTCCGTGCAAAGATCTGACATATTTCACAGGATTAAAGCTGCTGGAAGAATCCCAAACAATCTATTTATCAGCGTTTTCTAAGTCAACTGGGAGAAAAAGTTGGAAGGAAGGAGGTGAATTTGGAATCTATCTTTAGTTATACTCTCTATGCAATAGGCAAAAGCAGCCAGGAGGGGGCGCACCTGGCCTGCTGATAATATGTCACATTACTGATGCTGAGGAGATGTTTTAAATCAGGATTTAAGCTTTTATCCCTGGATGCAGAGAAACTACAGCGAGGAGCAAAGACAGATGGCAGGAAGTGAAACAGGAGGAGCTACTGACTTCATCCTGAAGTCGTCCTGAGCCAGCGTGGCGTTGTCGATGCTCAGCATCACAGAGCCTCTGGCGATGAAGGCATCCTGGATCTTAAAGCACATGATCAGGTTAGTATCTGTTGGATCTGATCTACTTCAGATCACTGTTACCTTCAGCATCTCTAACCCTCTATGAAGCAGTCTGCTGGCTCACCTTGCCCTGAAGCTCTGCGATGGTGGCAAAGAAGGCACTGTAGTCTCTGCTGCTTGGGCTGACCTTGGCCTCTGCAAACTCCCTGATCTTCTTCTCCAGCTCAGCGTTGGCCTTCTCCAGGGACCCCACCTTGGTCAGGTAGTTGGCCAGGCGGTCGTTCAGGTTCTGCATGGTGAACTTCTCGTTGCCAACGACGCTGTCATCGTTGGACCCAAAGCCTCCAGCGAAGGCTGAACCTCCTCCAAAACCTGCACCCCCTCCAAAACCTGCACCCCCTCCAAAACCTGCACCTCCTCCATAACCTGCACCCGCTCCCCCACCGAAGCCAAACGCTGCACCGCTGCCGCCTCCTCCGGCAGAGAAGCTCCGGCTGGCCTGGGAGACCCTGATGCTGCCGCCTCCGGCTCCACCGGCCACGCTGTAGGAACTCAGGCCTCTGCTGGACCCGAAGGAGGACCGAGCCAGACCCCCACCCTGCGAGCTACGGGAGGAAGAGTACACCAAGGTTGCCATGATGAAGGGTGAGGAGTAGGAGCCCTTCGGTCTGTCTTCTGAGGAGCAGGAGAGGAGAGAAGTGAGGAGAGGAGCATCAGGTGTTGGCTTTTAAAGAAGTCCTGGTGGGCTGAGCTGCAGGTGAGGGGGCGGAGCCTAGACACACACCCACAGAGGTGTGTTTGGGCTGTGATAACTCTGCAGAGGTCCAAGAACAGAGCTTCACCTGGTTCTGCAGAAAATGGAAAAAACCCACAGAAGCTCCCAGTTTGTTGCAGCTTCACCTGGGCCGCTCTGACCAACACCTAGACCTGAGGAACCGAACCGTGAACCAAGAGTCTGTGACCGAGCAGCCTGATGCATGATGGGAAGAAGGCTTCACAGACTGGGACAATGTCCTAGTGAAGCTTGGCGCCATGGCAGCGCTGAGATGTGATCCCTGAGATTTATGGACGGCTGGAACGTCTCATGAAATGCTTGAATATCTCCCATTAAAAGTTTAATATACGCATAAACATGGAGCGAGGAACGACTCTGCAGCCATCTGCAACATTATTTTTAGAGCCCTGCACTAAAAACTGTTTTTATGTTTTTATTTGATCAAATATCCTCACAGGAAAGAGTCCTGATTGGTTCTTTGAATCAAGCCAACATGGAAAGAAGCAAAAGGGTTTTTAGGGCGCGCTTTGCTGGCGTAGCGGTTAGCATGCGCAACATGTGTACGGAGGCGTTAGTCCTGGACATGGCCGACCCGGGTTTGAATCCGACCTGTGGTCCTTTCCCCGCTCTCTCAGACCCTCGTACCCGGCAGCCGACTGTCAAAATAAACCAGCCCCTATTGCATTAAAAATAAAAAAATAAAAGTGTTTTTAACTGAGGTTTATTATGAATGAAGTAACTCCAACCTTCTGAAAGCTGAATGTTTACTATAGAGCCGTCACATATAGAGCGGAAAACTTTCTCTTTTGTACCAGAAAATTAGAATCTTTCATTAGATCATTAAAAATGGAGGAAACCATTTAATTCAGCTCACTCAGAAACGGGTCCCTGCATCAGTGTGCCGCGGCATGGAGCAGATCCAGGCGTGGTTCTGATCCGGTCCGGGGGAAGTCTAGGCTGCTTTGATCAATCATTATCGGCCATCGCAGGTAAACTGATAAACTCCCTGATTCGGATCAAGGCCGGTTTATACCCAGGAACCAGGTGGTCTGCATGTGTGTTGCAGTTAACGCAGATATGTCCCGCCCCTTCCACAGACACCCTGCCTCACCTTTCCCACATTGTAGGTGAGCGCAGACAGGAGGCCTCTGATTGGTCAAATCCACTCTATGCATATTTCCTGTTTGGTTCCTTTCCAGCTTGTTTTGTTTGTCTGACCGCCATTGTGGAAAACGTCTGGTGAAGATGGAGCAGCTAGCAGAGCGAGGTGAGAACGCTGGGACCATTTTCCACCTGGATCCCCGCTCTTTTTGGCCCTCATGTCCCTCCGTTGTCGCACAGACTTGCCCCCACTTCCTCACCGCCTCGGCCGTATCTAGACCCACAGCTAGTTCCTGATTGGCTCTCTGGTGTTGTGGTGCGGAATAACATAGCGCAGACCATGCTTCAATATTGGGCAGAAATCAAAATATCTGCGACACGCTGCTGGGGGAGGATAACCAGGCCTTCGGTCCGTAGTGGACCTGGATGTTCTGACTATGTCGCTCTCGGGAAAGCTTCTCAGAGGGATTATTCCAACGTTATTATTCCTGTTGCTGATGCAACTTCCTAATTTTTCCTTCCACTTAACTTCCCATATTCTATAGACCAAGGGTGGAATTCCAGTTCCTGAGGGCCGGTATCCTGCAGCTTTTAGACGTGCCTTTAGTTCTACACACCTGAATCAAATAACTGAAGGACTCTGGAGAGACTTTGTGCATGCTGAGGAGGTCATTCAACCATTTGATTGAAGGGTGGATCTAAAAGCTGCAGGATGCCGGCCTCCAGGATATCCCACCTCTGCTGTGGATTTTCTAATTTCCTTTGTGTTTAAATCATTTCTTCAATGAGAACTGCGGGTCACACCGCTCCTCCATTAGACCAGCAGGCAGATGCATCTCTGTGAGTCAAAGGCAGAAATATTTCAGCTAAATGATGCTGATGTGTGTGAGGAAGGGTGGGGCAGGTGGTAGTAAAGTTTAGGCTGATCAGAACTCGCTGTAGTTATTAGTCAAATCAGCTGAGTGAGATGAGATGCGGTTGGACCAGTTTCCGTAGAGGTTTCGGTGTGACCCAGGTGATGTTACCTCTGGCGCTGCTCCTGCTCCCAGAAACGGCAGCTGGCAGCGAGCGCTCACCTGTCGCCTCGCAGCGCCTCGGCGTGAGAAAAACCCCCGAGCTGAGGTTACCGTAGCGACTTGGAGCAGGAAGCGCGTTCAGGTGTGAAGACTCCAACATAAACTGCCTTTGTGCCCAGAGCAAATCCCTCACCTCGCTGAGGGACGGTATCGGTCCAGAGTTACAGAAAGGTTCTGATGGAAATGTTGGACGGAAACGCTGTGGAGACGGCGAGGTCGTTCCTCTTAAACATCTCAGCTTCATTTCAGTTGGAAGGATGACTTCTGAGAACACAGACAGATTCCCAGTGGGGTTTAGATTCTGACTTCTTACCATGAATCCGCTCTGGGCCAAACCCTCCATCATCTCCTGATGGATGTTCAGGCTGGTTCTTCTGCTGGAAGGTGAACCTCCACCCCAGCCTCACCTCTTCTAAAGCTTTTTCATGCCTCTTTTTGTTTGTGTGTCGTGTTTAGCCAGTATAGCTCTAGGAATTAACGTCCCAGAGCTAGCTGACAGCCCAACTGCTTTGCTTTCACAAGCTTTCCATTATGACTGTTGCTATAAGCTTCTGCTTGGACATTAGAGTAAAATCAAATTCAGCGGACATGGAAAGGGAGAAAGAAAGAGGGGATAAGAACAAAAGGGAGACAGAGATAGAGAAAATAAATCAAAACAGCTAAAATAGACAGAAGATCTACAGTAACTCCCAGAAATCTGCTTCCACACCTGGATGAGATGAGAGGAACAGAAAACAGAGAACATTACAGCAAAAAGAAGACAACAGACAACCGAAGCCTGAAATGAACATTTTTATTTCACTGCTTATTTTCACTGTCTGAACGCTGTACAAAACCAAAACTTCATCATTCATAATAGAAGTTGTCTAAGTCTACAGTAAACCAGAGCAGCAGGTACGCCAGATACCCCATTTACACCACCCTTTAAAAACCGTGCCGAGACCGGGCCGAGCTCAGTAACTGAGATAACTTATTGTGTGTAAATGGAAAGCAAACTGAACCGGACCGAGCTAGACACAACCGGACGGAGCATGACACAACCGGACCGAGCTAGACACAACCGGACCGAGCTAGACACAACCGGACCGAGCATGACACAACCGAACCGAGCTAGACACAACCGGACAGAGCTAGACACAACCGGACCGAGCATGACACAACCGAACCGAGCTAGACACAACCGGACGGAGCTGGACACAACCGGACGGAGCTAGACACAACCGGACCGAGCTAGACACAACCTGACTGAGCTAGACACAACCGGACGGAGCTAGACACAACCGGACGGAGCTGGACACAACCGGACGGAGCTAGACACAACCGGACCGAGCATGACACAACCGAACCGAGCTAGACACAACCGGACGGAGCTGGACACAACCGGACGGAGCTAGACACAACCGGACCGAGCTAGACACAACCTGACTGAGCTAGACACAACCGGACCGAGCTAGACACAACCGGACCGAGCTAGACACAACCGGACCGAGCATGACACAACCGAACCGAGCTAGACACAACCGGACAGAGCTAGACACAACCGGACCGAGCATGACACAACCGAACCGAGCTAGACACAACCGGACGGAGCTGGACACAACCGGACGGAGCTAGACACAACCGGACCGAGCTAGACACAACCTGACTGAGCTAGACACAACCGGACGGAGCTAGACACAACCGGACGGAGCTGGACACAACCGGACGGAGCTAGACACAACCGGACCGAGCATGACACAACCGAACCGAGCTAGACACAACCGGACGGAGCTGGACACAACCGGACGGAGCTAGACACAACCGGACCGAGCTAGACACAACCTGACTGAGCTAGACACAACCGGACCGAGCTAGACACAACTGGACCGAGCTAGACACAACTGGACCGAGCTACACACAACTGGACCAAGCTAGACACAACCGAACCGAGCTAGACACAACCAGACCGAGCTAGACACAACCTGACCGAGCTAGACACAACCGGACCGAGCTAGACACAACTGGACCGAGCTAGACACAACTGGACCGAGCTACACACAACTGGACCGAGCTAGACACAACCGAACCGAGCTAGACACAACCGGACCGAGCTAGACACAACCGAACCGAGCTAGACACAACCGAACCGAGCTAGACACAACCGGACCGAGCTAGACACAACCGAACCGAGCTAGACACAACCGAACTGAGCTAGACACAACCGAACTGAGCTAGACACAACCGGACCGAGCTAGACACAACCGAACTGAGCTAGACACAACCGAACCGAGCTAGACACAACCGGACCGAGCTAGACACAACCGGACCGAGCTAGACACAACCGAACCGAGCTAGACACAACCGGACCGAGCTTGACACAACCGGACCGAGCTAGACACAACCGGACCGAGCTAGACACAACTGGACCGAGCTAATTGCAGACCAGGTCCAGAGGTGGGCTCGGCTCGGTTTTTCCCTGGCTCGGTTCTCTGGTAACAAGAGCGCATGAGCAGAACGCGTCATCTCCGTCTGGCTGCACATCGCGATTCACACTCCATTCCACTAGTTGGCAGTAATGCCCCTTTCGGGAGTTGTTTGCCAACCAACACAAAACAGAAGAAGAAGAACAACTATAAACACCAATCGAAATCTTCTCCACACAACATTTTCAATAATTACCTTTTAAACAATAACACCGAAGTACAGCAATAATAATCAAGCATAACTTTCTGAATGTGACGGGCGCCGCCATTTTGATTTGCTTGATTCCCT